TCGTCAGCCAAAAACAAATAAACAAAGTGGGATATTATAACAGGCCTTCCCAGGCGAAGAGGTGACTTTGTTGTAATGTAACCGTGTGGAGTGAACCACTGCTTGCTGTGATGAATACGGAGTCAAACGGAAACTGCTGTATTGAGCGAACAACAAAGTGAGGAAGGAAGAGAGTTCCAGAGGAACGAGAGCTTAAATACAGGATGCCAGCAGCGCGCACGTGACACATACTACATGCTGCGCTACACGTGATCAACCCCTAGTTCCTCCAACTCCGTAACACTTTCCTTCTAAATAGGCTATGTTTTATACCTAGTAAATAAAGATAATAATATAGTTATTTTACACTAGAGTTTTATAAAATATAGACAAACTATATAAAGTATATTAGTATCTAAGTTATATACTTTAAGTAGTAGGTTCGATATAGTAGGGGTTATTAAGTTAATACTAGAGGCTGTCCTAGGTAAGATACTTAAATTAATAATTTATACGCGTTCTAAGTTAATATATAAATACTTAATAAAACTTAGTATAATAAAGGAGAAGCGTCTTATAATTAACGTAATAGTATTACGCTAGGTATACAAACGACATAAAATCTATAAGATCCTTTAGATTAAGGGGACTACGAATCCTACCGACGCTATAACGAAATTAAAGCCCTGCTAGGTATTAGTTACACTTATTAATACGAATAAGATTAAGATTATAGTCGAAGAATAGGTTAAACGTAAGGATATTAGTAAAGGATGTATTAGTTATACTTATTAATACGAATAAGATTAAGATTATAGTCGAAGAGTAGGTTGAACGTAAAGATATTAGTAAAGAACAAAATAATAATAATATAAAGAATTAGTAGATTTAGATAAATTTACGAATTATAAGGTATTAATAAACTTAATTAATATTAAGGGAGAAATTAACAGATTTAATTAGTTAAGGACTTTAGATAATTACTTATTTATATTAAGTCTTTTACTTTTTTTAAAGTAGGCTTAGTATCGCTATAATATCCGAGTAAATATACTCGGTAGTATAGACTACCTAACTAGGCTAGTCCTACCTATATTATAGCAGTACAACTTCCACACCTTTAACTCAGTATACATCAACAATAGAAATAGTCTAATACTAAGGTTTAGCCTCTTATTCTCTAAATCCTGTCAAATGAAATCCAGCTCCGTCACATTAGTTATACTTATTAATACGAATAAGATTAAGATTATAGTCGAAGAGTAGGTTGAACGTAAAGATATTAGTAAAGAACAAAATAATAATAATATAAAGAATTAGTAGATTTAGATAAATTTACGAATTATAAGGTATTAATAAACTTAATTAATATTAAGGGAGAAATTAACAGATTTAATTAGTTAAGGACTTTAGATAATTACTTATTTATATTAAGTCTTTTACTTTTTTTAAAGTAGGCTTAGTATCGCTATAATATCCGAGTAAATATACTCGGTAGTATAGACTACCTAACTAGGCTAGTCCTACCTATATTATAGCAGTACAACTTCCACACCTTTAACTCAGTATACATCAACAATAGAAATAGTCTAATACTAAGGTTTAGCCTCTTCCTATATTACACCTCTTATATTTGACAATAAGTCAAACTAACAGTAACGGTATGAGAAAGAAAAAAAGAATTAAGCCTTTCACTTATCCGCCTTCAGGTACCGAACTCGGTTATTACTGTGGCACATCTTGGGGTTCTAGACGGCGACTCGACGAGAAGTTAAAAAACATTTTAGAACCCCTTTCAGATCCATGGTTCTATGGGATAATACTTCTGACAAGCTTGATTTTCACCTGGGACATTATAAAGACATCATATTCAGATCCACAATCATATTGCATAGAACGGAAACGAGAATTTCATCCTCCAGAAAGAAGTATGTATATTCAACAACCCAGGATGGTAAATCCTATATATTTTCCTACAATACAAAAACCAGATAAGACTCCTCCTCCCATCAAGCAGAACCCAAAACCTTATCCTTGCGAAGTCCCACCATTCGAGAAAGAAAAACTTGGGATCCTCCAAGTAGCCGTCGAACCAACAAGAAGAAATGCATCCGTATGTATAATAAAATTTAACGATCGTGAATCGAGTCGCACGTGTCGAAAAGAAGTTGTGTGTGTAAGGATTGTTGTAAAAAGCCAAATCAAGGAGAGCAACCACCGGGAAAGAGATAGAAGGTCGAATCCCCCAAGTCGAAACCGGGAGGATTAATCTTTGCTGTGCATCGCTTATCGTTCCTGATGAGGAAGGTGTGGGATTAAAGTGGCATCTCTCTTCTCATATGGCGATTTTGAATGGGAGGGTGTTGAGGAATTTACATGACAACACACCATCCACCGCCTGCAGCCTTGGCAACTGGAGCTTGGTATTGAGGAGACATGTTTGAGTTGGGTTGGTTGGGTTGGTAAAGCTTAAAAGGTTTTGTAGGCTTTGAATTGAATTCAATGATGAGAAAAAGAAACTTTAACACTGGAGGGACTGGAGGTACTTATAGACTTTTTCATTCGCTTCTATCCACTTCCTCGCTCTCAACTCTTCCTAATATTTCGATTAGTTTGAGTTAGTGGCGATAGATGTGTAGAAAGAACCCAAACGGAACGCCCAAAGAAGCTTTCATTTTGACTCGAGAACTTTTCTGCTTTCAGTGTGCCAGTGCAGGATAACGCGCAATCTGAGAGGCAGGCTTCAATATCCGTGCCTATACTTTGAGATATCCATAATCTTGGGAGATTAAGTGGAGTTTCTTTGGTGAGGTTCTTGATATTGTTCCTCAATGTAAACAAAGAAAAGTGGGGCGATATGGGCGACTACTGTAAGCGAGGCACCTTAATATTGTTCTGCGCATCTCGTATTGTTCTTCCAGTGGAATAGGTCACATCCGCAAGCAAAGCCAAGATGGAAACAAATAGATTCTCTTATCAGTACTATCCCCTTCCAGATGCTAGAGGTGCCAAAAGTTGTGCACCCAAAGCGGAGCAAATGGATCCTCTCCTTCAACATCTTCCCTGTGAAACTAATTAGTTTGACCGATCAGCCCACTTTTCTAAGCATTTAAATCTCCATTAAATCCACTTATCGCATACACCTTTAGTGTATCTACCTTTGGCATCTATCGCATGTGGAAGGGATGAACAGATTTATATGACCGAAAGCGAAACTAGGGGTCTTATTGGCACGGGGTAAAACCCCAACAAGTCAAGTGAGGCTCTTCACGTTGTATGTACTCGAGTTCTAGACCTTCTGGAACATTCAAGTGAAAATTGATATTCCTTTCGTATGGGGGGAGGCTTCCGCCTCGTGGCCGCCTTCATTATCTCTATCTTAGCCATTTCCATATCGACACTCTCCATGCTTTCAAGATTGAATCATAGTCATACGAGTGGTAGTAATAGGAGGTGTTATTAGCAGAAAAAAGATTTGGATTCTTCTGGCCAAATGTAAAATTTGCGGTTACTCTGGTCTCTTTATTATCACGCGACCATAGCGTAAATAGATAATCAACTGGATTGGCTAGATTTTCCCAGTCTTTTCTGGGATATTCTGAAGTCTTTTCACGAATCTTTTGCCTGATCATAAAAGATTCTCTTAGTTAAAAAAACGCGAATCCACGTGGCTAATGACTCATGATTGAATTCTACCTAAGTCTAATCCTGCACTTTAACCATCTTCGACTAATGTGACAAAGATCGACAACGTTGTAGCTGATGAGCCATAGCGCAAGGAGGCAAAAATACCTTGCTCTGCCTGTGTTCTCATTATATGCAAACCGATGGTAGTACGGGTCCTCCTTTTTCGCTCCCCACTCACGGCATAATGCACTAAACAGATATCAGTATCACAGTTCTCTTGAATCCACTGAAATCATAGGAAATACTTACAACCCAATTTGGGGTTGTCTCCGACCACATATATCTATCACAGCTTTTGCCACGCTCAAGCAGCCCGTTATCACACTATATAGCGGGGGTTAGAGAATGTGGTAGAAAGAAGAGAAACCGAACAGGAGATATTGGGAAAGACTCACGTTCCATCCACCATCTTTGCCAGAATCTCCATCTTGATTCAGCATCAATTGTACACATGGTCGTACACCTTCAGCAAAGATAGTCGTTGCTAGTGAAGCGACTGTTATAAAGGTGTATAGAAACTGCATCTTGCAGATTTTGCGCGTGAGGTCTTGATTTTGTAGAATCGCAAGACTAGAAAGGAGATGAAGCTAAGTGTGGGGAGGACTCATCATTTCTAATAAACAGGTTAAATTACCAATTAGCGGCCAGTGGTGAGCGAATCTGTATTTCCATTTAGGTCAGATATTGCTAAATCTTAGATGAAACGCGCACATGGAGTTCCTTGGGCTGTTACTAATAGTAAGAAAGTATATTATAGCAAAAATCAAGTGCCTTTACCGAGACAGCAAAACAAAGTCCAGGTGTGTACCCCTTGCCCACGACTATAATTTCCAGAAAACTGCATGTTAAAGGTAGCTGCGGAAGATCGAGACTCATACTTTTAGGCATTTTTGTATTCTAAAAGGTAGTTTGAAGCTATAAATATGTCCAAATCATAGGATGTTTTTACAACATTTTTAAGTATTCGTGACAAGCATTGTTACAATGCAAGCAGTAAGTTTACGAGTAGGAAGAAGGGAACGGAATTCTCTAATTTACCTTTGGTTTTACCGCGCAAGAACCATGGATATGTATACGGCTTAATCTTGAGACACTCACGTTTAGTCAGACCTTACATGAAACTTTCCCATATTTTGTTGAAGTTTAACAATTATGTACCGTACAGTCGAGTCTCCATGACCAGGCGGCCTCCGTTTACAATAGCATAATCAAATGTTTTTCGATACCACACTCATATCGTGGCCAAGCTCCCGTTAAATTGGAAGGTATTTCGTAGTTTACTTGTGGCAAAAGGACCAACAGGGAGTTATCCTGAAGAAAATGCACGCGACGTTTTTATATTTTGGCTCATATACCCCTGGAAATTCCATGGAGGGCCAGGTTCCGAAACATTGACAGGTTTATAAATGCGCCAAGTCATAGGGTGACCCTTTTTCCTCATCTATCACGGAATACCACTCGATAAAACTTTCCTTTATATTGACAGTGCCTATGATATCATGGCATGTTACAGAATTCCACAAAACACTAATTCGAACTTGTAGCCTACTTGGTACTCCCTATCCTTTCAACTCAATACCACAGGCACTTAAGCAACCGAATTTTACTCAATGATTAGGCTTGGATTCCTGGATGTTCGGATGATACAAGGGTTGTCCTACCTACCACTCCGTCTTACAAACTCAACTTGAGACGAAGAAAAGTCTTTATGCCAACAGCATTTTACTGAATATCCACGTAACCATAGAAACCATCTGGTGTATTACGGTTCTTTACTTGGGATGAGGGGAAACACTTGGCATATTCTACAGTACAGAGGTAAGAAGGTAAGTTTACCCAGTACTATACAGCCAGAAACCGCATTGATTAGTGCAAAACGCGGTACCCATAAGCTCACTTACCAACTATTAAAACCACTCATGGATACAAAAATATTTAAGGAGGGAATGTCCCGACCGCCTCCTCACAAATTCCACATCGATTATACAAAGTGCTGGATTGACAATTACGAGCACTGCTACCACAATCTTGGGCATTCCAAAGGGCGGTTAGGTATCGAGTAGCATTCCGCTGTACATTTATTGCAAATCGGCTGTCTAGGTAATGGCATTTTGTTTTTGTTTCTATTATGACAATAGAATGTCAGGTCCTCGATTAGATTCCCGATATAAGAGTTATCATAGGAAGATTGTTTTTATTTTATGATATCCGGGAATAATCTGCTCTGGTGTTTCCTTTTAGTCAATACTGGCATTCGAGACGATCAATGCAATTCTTCATTTACTTGTTCCCGATTCGTGTTAGTCGCGTGTACTACAACGAGGAAGACTGTTGAAGGTGCAGCGATACAGAATGGGAATCTCGAGGGTTGCATAGCAAGGCTTCTCGGGACTCCCACTTGATATCAACTATTGATGTACCCAACTAACGTCTGGTCTTAACATAATGTCAACAACCAATATACCAGATGAATGAATATGCGCCGAAATCTGTGCTGGTCTTAGATCCTGTGCTTGAGAGAAGTATATGAGTAGACAAACATTACTTAAGACATTACGAACAGTCCCTGAATCTGAAGTCTTTTTTCTAAGAAAGCTAGCAGGTTTGTTTGTTGGTCGCTCATGGAAACAAAATCCTGGGTAAGTTTGCCATCTCCCAGGAAATTTCAAGTATAAGACAAAGCCTTATATCTAAGCAGATCATTCAAAGAAACATGTTGCAAAGTGAAACCAGCAAGCGGTCAATGTTCACAGTGATACACTATGTGTCATGGACGACGGGATCCCAATGACTCTGCAGTATCAGCAGGCGAATTTCCTTAGTTGGGTATTTTAAGGGCGTGTAGACATTTTCGCTTTGTACTGGAGCGAAATTAGGTCTGATGCAGCCGTTTGTCAACTATAATCAACGAAACACTGAGGTTTGGATGTTCTTGAGTTCAGAGGTTGCTGAAAAGAGTAGAGAGTGAGAAGTCTGGTAGGGAATATACTCAGCCACAGGTAAGATTACAGTATTACATAGCCACATGGAAATCGTTCGATATTTGAAGCTTCATTCCATCACCCAAACCTAACGGAAAGTCTGGTATTTCCCCTTTCTCGTTCATGGCGTCGTTTCCCCTGCTTTCCTAGAAAAGACACTTGTAATATTCACGGAGAAATGTATGTACAATTGGTGACTAAGCATGTGTCAAATGACATGATCCAAAAGATGGGCGCATGCATTTTCTGACTACAGCTCCCTATTTACCTACGAGCCTACCTATGGTTTGACAACTTGCATATCTTGATACCAGCTATCAAAGTTGCACCTCAATTATTCTGGACTCATTTTGTCAGCTTTCACTTGCTTACTTTGAAATAATCAACTGCGTCGTTTCGCTCCTGCCCAATGAACATCAAGACAATCGGAAGCAGCCAGAAGTGACGACAGGACGTCAAACTCCTGGTTGAGTATATCTACATTACATATACATACACAAATATATTCTTACCTTGGATCGAAAGTTGCATGGGGAATTAATTGTATAGTCTCCAGCTCAAAATTCTACATACGGATCCTTGTTGCCTAGCCTTTCCTGCGTCACATCTGCGTCGTCTCCCTCCAGTTTTTTGAGGACTTGCATTGCATCACCGAATCCGTTCTCACAGCTTAAAAGAAACAAACGAAAAACAGGATGGCTTCCAGAGTGAAAACTCGCGGTAAGAGGAAAGACTTCAATCTGCAGCCATCCTTCCCAGGCAAGCACAAGACTGACCTACGTCAGCCAGTTATGATCATCTCGGACACGCACGACAACCAATTCAACAACGCAACCAAATACGGCGGCAAATTCACTCTCCCAAACCCACAATGCGACGTTCTCATCCACACGGGCGATCTAACTTTAACGGGTGGCGAAGGCCCTTACCAAAAGAGCATGCACATGCTCTCGCAAATCCCCGCCGAACTAAAGCTCGTAATCGCAGGTAACCACGATCTAGATCTCGACCCCAATTGGGTTGACAAACGCTATCCCCCAACACCCACACATCTAGAAAACCACAAAATCGCGGCGGGACTATGGAAAGGACCTCACGCAAAACAAGCAGGAATCACGTATTTGGAAGAGGGCATGTACACATTTACTCTTTCCAATGGTGCGAAATTCAAGGTCTATGCGTCGCCTTATCAGCCGGAATTCTGTGGATGGGTGTTCCCGTATGAGAGGAATGAGGATAGGTTTAATCCCCCTGGACTGGAGAGGGAAGGTGTGTATAATATTTCTTTGCATCCGATTCCCAGTTTTCCGGATGTGGATATTGTCATGACCCATGGGCCACCGAAGGGGATTCTGGACCGTACTTTGGATAACGAACACCCTGGGGAGCCTCTGGGCTGTGAGAGTCTGTTAAGGGCCCTGGGTAGAGCGAGACCGAAGTTGGCTTGTTTTGGACATATTCATGAGGCGTATGGGATGAGGTTGGTGGAGTGGAAGAAGGAGGGGAATGAGTTTGTGAGAGGAGAGGAAAGGTATCTTGGGGATGCGATTGAAAGGCAGGTGGAGCATGAGAATGCATATCCGAAATTATCTGGTGATGGAACATGGGATATTAAGCATGGAGAGGAGACGTTGATGGTCAATTCTTCGATTATGAACTTGGATTACCGGCCGTTCAATTCGCCTTGGATATTTGATATCGAGCTTCCTGGGGCTTGATCCATAGTGGGGTGATCATTGAGGGAGGGGCAGATTCTGTACAATATAAAGCTTATTCGTTTGAAGTGGTCCACAGTCCTCTATGCATTCTACCCGACAGTATTTCCACCTCACCTGATTTCATCTTCTGCACCATACCCCACAGAAGCATTTCACCTCTACATTTCGATCGAGCTACACCGATTGCTAACCATCACACATATCGCATTAGCAATTTCAATTTATTTTCAATTCCCGTAGGGATTTCTTCCCACATAGGAGGGGCACATACTCGGATGACATTCGGAGACTTTTCGGGATGACGTTTCCGTGCTTGGGACAGGGATGTATATATATACCCCACCTGCTCCTTCCTTCAACTTCTTATCATCACTTCCTCCTCTCGGTTGATACCCAATTGCCTCTTCAATTATCGCTCCTCGTCGATTGCACTTCTACAAGCCTAGAGAGAAAGAAAAAGAAAAGGGAATAAAGCAACAATGGCGGAAAGAACACTTGCCACTCTCGATGTAAGTCAGTTAGTTGCACTAACCCCGCAATTTTATTCCAGTTACTATGTCTGCAAACAAGAATAACCAGAACGAAATCGTTGAAAACATCTTCTTATAATCCCCAATCACAATATCTCATTAATTTTCCCTCCAAAACTGACCCAAGAAAACCCGCATTAGTCCTCAATCATCTCCCGCCTCCCCTCCTCCTCCCAAATCCTCTTCCACGCAAAAACCCAACAAAACCTCACCTTCTCCTCCCTCGCCACCTCCCTAGGCCGTTCCGAAGTCGCCATAGCCGCATTATTCTATGGACAAGCCACGGCATTCCCCGAAGACATCAAGACCCTCTCCTCGCTCCTCAAGCTCGAAGAAAGCATCCTTAAAAGCGAATTGGAACAAGGCTTTCCCGACCGAGGAAGAGCAGGCCCTATGCCACCCACAGAACCACTCATCTATAGATTGTATGAGATTGTGCAGAATTATGGGTATGCGTATAAGGCGGTGCTGAATGAGAAGTTTGGGGATGGGATTATGAGTGCAATTAGTTTTAGTACGAAGGTGGAGAAGGAGGTTGATGAGCAGGGGACTTGGGCGGTTATTACGCTTAGGGGGAAGTGGTGAGTCCTTTTCTTCTTCTGCTTTTTTTTGTCTCGCTTTTCTTTGTGTTTTTGATGGGGTTCTTGGATTGGATTTCTGGGTTTGTAGGATGAGAGAGGGGACTTTTGATGACGTGACACAGGACTGATAATTTAATTTTCAATAGGCTTCCTTTTACGCGCTTCTAAAGGAGTCCGTCGGACCTTGGTATGACGAGCATGCAAATGGAATGCTGGGTCTACTTTGATACTGTAGTGAACGAGGATGGGTGTGGTGAGAATAGAGGGGTACTGGATGGATGTTTTGATATGATTTTTGTTTCTTTCTCTATGTTTTGTAGTACAATAATGTGGAATATAATTCATCGTTCTTCCAGCATTTCCTTCCCACGACTGAGATTCTTTCTATTTAGAGAAAAGTATGGGAATGTTAATTACCTCCCTGGGATAGACATCATGGTGTAACCCTCTTCTCTTAGCGCTAGGATATCTAGGGGAAAGGACGAACTCTCGGTATTCTCAACCTTTTGTTTCCACCCTTTTTTCTAGCCGACAGCAGTTTTATAGAGCAGTTTTATAAGACCTGTAGTAGGGCTAGGTATATCCTGATAACATATACAGTCTCCAGTATCCTACATCAAGACGAGTACCAATAAGTTCTTTCCAGGTATAGAAACCGATATGTGATGCTGCATGGACGAGAACGCCTTCATCACCTCTGATCCGAATAACGCACGACAATCTCATGATGATGATTCTGCTCCTATGAAACTGGCAATGGATGTCATAATAACCTCCCTCGCCTTTGTCTCGTTCACAAATTGTTTCCTATTATTTCCGGAGTATTTCTGCTGAGAGGGACTTGATGGGATTTTAGGTTTTGGTTCCACGAAATTGGTTGCATGGACTTGGATGGGTTGTATATCGAACACTTGCGCGTCAATACTAGTAAGTACGTCCTGAGAATTGGGATGGGATCTTTTGTTGAGGGGAATTTTGTGAGGATCTCAAAGTTGAACCTTTTTCTAAGACTTCACCTGAGGGCCCTAGAATATCTCCCTTATAGAGAAATGTATAGAGAGGATCAACTTCAGTTGTATTTACCATGAAAATAGGAAGACAAATTACCCATTGAATGAACTACCTAGTTTCTTGTTAGAGGATGCGAAGAGTTCAGAAAAGTGGAGAAATATCATTGGTTGCGCTTTCCCACTGGTCCCCCGCATTTCGCTTGTTTGTTCTGGGCAGGGACATCTTGAACGGACGGTTCCCCTTGCCAACGCAGAATTTACACAAACAACTGGACCACGATGGCTTCAAAAAGTCTTCGTATTCACTGTTACCCAGCTGGGTCTGGGGAAACACCGAACCCCCGCTTTTTGGCGTCTTGGCCCCTTCTTTGTCTTTGATAAATCTATACTTGCTTTTCTTCCCTTCCTCGCAATTTACCCTCTTTGATTCCTCAAAAGAAAGTCTTTCTTTGCAAACCGATATTGATAGATCACGCTCGTTCTTCAATTGATTCACGATGAAGCTTGTAACGGTGCTTCTGGCACTCTTCACATTGTGTGTCTCATTCACAGGTGCTGCTAATCCAGGCGCCATCAACTTCAATGCTTTGCCTCTAGACACTGTCTTTCAGAACCCTGGGAGCAGTATATCATGACTCCCAAAGACAAGAACCGTATTCTACCATCTAGAGTTTGGTCTCAAGCAAATGTCACAAATGCAGCAAATGCAGCGGCTGTTTTGGAAAATGCACCACAACAACCACCCAGCGCTGCTACTAGAGCTTCCAACTTTGAAATTGGGGTTGGAGGAATCGTCACTTATGAATTTGCTGAGAATATTGGCGGACGGTATACTCATCATCAAACTTCCTCTCCCTCATTACAAATGGCACTGACTGTTCATTTTCCAGAGTCTGTGTTGATGTTTCCAACTTTGAGGGCGACCCTTTCCTCATCCTCTCTTACTCGGCATCCAGCTTCTTTGCTGGCAAGATGCCAGATTCCACGGGTGACATAGTACCTCTTGATCTCCCCCTCAAGTTTCGCATCAAGAATAAGGGAATCAATTGTGTAGCTCCTGGTTTCAATCGAGGGGCATTCAAATACTTGACCATATACATTCCGGAAACACCTGTACCGGATGATGGCAATGATTTCTACCATCCACCCAAGGGCACGACTGCTAGGGATGTTGTCAAAAAGACAACCTCGAGTTGGTATGACTCGATTAGACGAGGCATCAAGAACCTGAGAGCTGCCAATGCCGATGAGAATCCAAGTGTTTTCATAAAGGCTCTTTGGGTGGTTTGCTCCGCGTATCCCAACCAACCATACGGGAGAGCGTATAATGGCTACTTTGAAAGCTCATCATCACTTTTGAATCGTGTATGGTACGCCGGTGCTTGGACCTTGCAACTCATCAACATCAAGCCTAATGAAGGATGTGCGATCATTCAATTCAGTAGTGAGTTTGACGGCACCCATCCAGAACCTGGAGCCTGGTATAACAATTACACAATTGCCAATGGAACAGCCGTCACGACTGATGGTGCTAAACGCGACCGTATGGTCTGGTCAGGAGATATAGAAATTACCATTCCTGGTATTGCGGTGTCAAGCTACGACATGCTTGCCGTGCGAAATGCGTTGGACTCATTGTGGAATCTTCAATACAGCGATGGTTCTTTATCATACGCTGGCATCCCCATGGGCCAACACCACGAATTCAGCGATACCTACCACATGCATACCTTGATTGGCAGTTATCTCTACGTCCTTTACAGTGGGGATGTGGATTGGATCAAGAATAAATGGGCTACCTTCAAACGTGCGGTCGATTTCAGTGTAGCAAAGATTGATGGTCGCAATCTTATGCTCGTCACTTCTGAATTTGATTGGATTCGACCAGGAATGGTTGGTCACAACTCGGAAGCCTCAGCAATTGCACTGAAAATGCTCGAGGATGCTATCAAATTGGCCGAATGGGTTGGTGAAGCAAATCCGCAGACTCGAGGAGTTTCGTGGACGGACACTCACGCAAGACTTCGTTCGGGATTCCAAGGTCTTTGGTGTGCTGCCGACAATCTCTATGGAGACAACCTGGAGGATCGAGGATGCAATGGCTCTCAAAAGGTTTTACCCCAGGATGGCAATACCTGGGCACTGATGGCAGGTGCCGCTGACGCTGATACTGCCGCTAAGGTATCCGAAGCTCTTCGCAACCGCTGGACAAAGTACGGTGCACCTGCAGTCGAATTCCCAAACGTCATTTCATCTTGGGTGGCTTCGTGTGAGCTTATGGCTCACGTTGTTGCGGGACATCATGATTATGCTATCGAGCTCATGGAGTTACAATGGGGATGTATGATGGACGAACCCGGAATGACAAACTCCACTTTCCTTCAGGGCTACCGAATGGACGGGTACATTTACTATCCCGCATATCCGGCAGCGCCCAGAAATTCCCACGCACATGGTTGGGCTTCGGGTCCTACATCAGTTCTCATTGAAGGAATCTTGGGTATCAAATTGTTGACCCCACTTGGAAAGACATGGGAAATCGAACCCCACATCACCAAATGGCTCGGTCACGTTCGAGGTGGATTTGCAAATGGTCTCGGAAAGTTCGAGGTCTCAATCGAGCGTCTTGTCCATATTACCGGTCGTTATGCACAAGGTCTTAACATTACGGTCCCCGCTGGTTCATCTGGCACACTCAGATGGTTCGGTCAAGAAATCAAGCTTTCCGAGGAAGCAACTAGCAATACCCAAACTTACTCCTATTATGTTTATCCGCCATCCCTAGTCCAGAGACAAGTTGCGCCTGTTACACGAATGGCAGCACGAGATCAATGGAGACTCTTCTCCCCTGATCCCCAGTGGACCAAGCCTGGAACTGATCAACGAGCCGTTGGAGTCACGGATCTCAGTATCATGACAAAATATTGGGTTCCGACAAAGGGTGTTCGTTCTGCTGCCTCGCGTGGAGATGGATGGAACAGAGTGAAGGAACGCAAGATGAGAAAACGAGGTAAGACAAATTCTGATGCTTAGAATTGCCATTACATTCTGGGATAGAGGATGCTCGTATTGCACCATGAAGACGTCTCTCCTTTTATTGGCTTGTTGGAGGCCGAGGCCATTACAGAATGGCACTAGCATAAAGCGTCTTTTCAACTTCTTGGGTAATTGTAATGGTAATAGCGTTGTTAGAGGGGGTAAGTGGTCATACACCATATCAACTTTGGGATATTTTTTGTGGTTGGGTGCGTGCGAGCATGTACTTTATCTTTTTTTGTTGTTTTCTTTCTTCTTGCATCACAAAAATGGGACTGGGTGAATCGTGTAATTTAGATGCTGCCGTTGGGTTCGGTTGGCATTAAATTAATGACAATTGAGAGAGGTAATTTTAATTGGTCTCAGAATTGATTGTGCGTTTTAATGACTGTACATACAAGTAGGTTTCATCTTTATCTATAATGTATGTGTTCATGTAGGATCTGGTTATTACAAGAATTCATAGGTGAAGACTACTCGGTCTTTGATATAGTGAAGATGTGGATGTAGGATTATCTGACGCGACGTCCGTTCTCGACTATCGAGTTCGAGACCAAGACTCTGACTTAGCTACTTCAATCTTTCCTCGAGTGGCGATAGTCCAGGGCGGAGAAAGAAGGAAATAATCTCCATTTTGTGTCGAAATTACTCCTACAGCCAAAGGGAAGGCGTGGAACATGACACATATACTCCATTTACTTAGGACATTGCCGGCCGAAGTTTATTTTGATAATGTGACGGTCATTTCATGTAATTTTACAAGCAATTGGATAGTTGTAGTTCTTCGACGTGAAGCTCGCCAACATTTCTGTAGCTTCAACTTCGTTGTGTTATTTGACGTTGTCCAAAACTTGGCAATCGGGTGAACGTAATTAGACTAACCAGACTTAGTACCCCGCCTACAAAAGTTTATGCGAATCTTCCGGTCTTAAAGTCACAGAGTCTACTATTCGAAATATTTGTGTATGTTAAAGTGAAGTTCAGTGACTGGTGGCGAACATTATATAGACGTAAAGTTTCTGTTTCCCTCCGCCCCCACTTGCGAATTAAGCGAGACATCTTACTAATAACTTAGAGCCTTCCAAGAAGCATAAGATAGGAACCCTGAAAGCACCAACTAATCTAAATGACTGCTTTACTATATTTCTTATTTCAGCCTCGTTAGTAGCTGGCAGATTCACAAGCATGTGGAGAGAACAGACTCCAGAGAAGGGGCTTGCCCTCGCTTAAACTTTTCATATAGTCAAACTAGCTCCGCGTATACTCATCGCAGCTCGTAATAGCCTTATTGCAGTGGTATTATGATCACATAGAGATTTTTGGGAGCAGTTTTGGGGGAGTCGAGAATCGTAGGACCACAGGGGTGAAGTTCAGAAACACTTTTTGAAATTGTCATTGGGCACTGCTACTTGTGGGACCTGCCATTTTCAGGCATGAGGCATGAAATTACTCCGTCCACATAGAGATAAAAGTATCGGAGCAAGGAGGCCTAGAGGCTAGAGTAAAGAACGGGTATAAGTCTGCAGACTATTGAGCTTATTCCCCTGTCGCTGCAGATGCCGTCTGAAGGAGTCTGACTGGCCAAAGAACTTATCGCCAAGAAATCGAATACCTCAGGATGCCATGCCTGTGAACAGATCTGAATGATTCATCCAAATGTTGAAGATCACTATCTCGAGAATGGCTGGAGACTTCGGAACCAACTACGCAGATGGTAGTGATTTAATTCGTATTTTAGACTCTTTCAAAGCAACTACCACTTCAAACTATTGGAACTTATTGAGGTCAAGAATGGAGAAATTCGGCAGGTCTTTGTCTAATTCTAGCTGTAAAGTTAGCTTATCTGTTGTTAGTCGTTCGAGTACATATGGTGATCTTCTCTTAGCATTCTTTACAAAGTTAACGGGAAATAGAGACTAGTCACATTTTGTGAGTCAGGTTTATACTCGGTATGTCTAATGGGAAAGACTTAACCCGTGAGCTAGTGGGGTAGGCGCAAAGCGGAAGGGTGGGAGCATAGAAGGCAGAGTTCCCGACCACATCTGGAATTAGTCACAATACCTTCTTACTCTTCTTTTTTTCAAGCTTTTATTGTGACATCAAAAACTTACCCCTTGATGCGAAAGGTCCTTTCCCTTTTCCAACAAGTAGCTGGTAATTTTAGTGTGCTTTATTGGCTAACAGCAAAAAGAAAAATTTTCATCATGGAATGTTCGTCCCTCTATCATCGGGAAAGGAAAAGATTCATTTCGAGTGCCTCGCAATAAAGCCTTGGAGCTAATTATCAGTACCACCAAACAGATATCCGGGAACTCCCAATTCCGTGTTTGCGTTGGGAAGAGTTCACGGGAGGCCGGTAAGAAAACTGCATTTCCATCATCGAATTATGCATCGTGCCGTTCTTCGAGTGTCAGGGGACAATGAGAATTCAACAGTGTGTTTGCCGGAAATAGAAGGATAGCAGTGAAGGGGGTTTGTGGAAATGACTTTGTGTCTCTGGAGGAGATCGGGCACACCAGTTCTTTTCGCTGCTGAATATGCCCTTACCGTTTTGAGGAAGGCTTGCTTCAACTTCCTTAATCTGACGACCTTCCCCACTTATCCGCGCAGGACAGCGCACCCCCTATCCATCATTTCGGCTGCCTGCAGCAAAGCCACGACACAACAAAAACCCTAAGCATTACCCCAACCTAAGACTACTTGTTTCATCTTAATAGCAAGAATGCAAATACCGAGAGGCTAAGGCGACAACTATGAGAGCTTTCGTGTGAGAACTTGGAAGGATCCTCGCTTATGGCTCTGGCTTCTACAGTAACTCTCAGTTCTGAAGTTAGGCGACCGGTTCTTGGAGGCCTGAATAATTTGAATTGCCACCGAAGATCAATTCCAACAGAAACTGGTGTCATATGGTAGTGATTGATCATTTAGTACTGTTTTCTTCCTTTTCACAAAGTCGAGTGTAAGGAAAAGGGGAAGTAGCGAGGGCACGTGCATGACCCCCACCCCGTAGGCCACCAGATTCTCTGTTCGAAGTCGATAGCTTTCTTTTACTCGATAGCTGAAAGTATCTACCCGTTCCATCATGTGCCTTTGTGTGCGTGGCAAGTTCTAGAAACGACACCAGGAGAGAAAAACACTGGCTGTGTCTTTTTCTTTTGGCAGTAATCAAGAATCCTTGAGCATTTATTTATAGAAAGAAATATATTTTGGAGGATCAGTGAGTCACAGAAGAGATGGGGGGACCAATATATACACCATATGTCAAAAAGACCTCCGGCATTGCACATTCCTACACCGCGCTTGTCGTTCTCACATCCACGATCATGTCGAATACATCAGCAATCGCTTTGGTCTTTACCCTGGCTATTCTAGTTATTATCAAATAATTTATCAAGAGAGCTGACAAAATGGATACGGCTCCACAACGTCTGCGTGATGTCAATGAATGTCGGAATTTACTCAGGTCCTCCACTCTAGAGCAACGAGCGTTCCCAAATCAAAGGCTCGTAAGCGTATTTGGGATAGACAATACTTTTACAACCGTCGATCCGATACTCGCCAAACTCTTTGTCAATCATTCGAAAGCGCTGTTGAGAACTCCGAGCGAGGAGTGGAAAACCTCGCGCAGTTCGCCTCGGACCAAGCCAAACAGTTTGCGATTGCCAAACACAAAACCTCGGAGTCTTTCCGCCTATTACCAATGATTCAGAAGCTCGTATTTCATGTCATAGTGCGAAAGTTCTTTCCACAGACCCCAAAACCATCTGATAGCGATGTGGAATTCGTCACGTCTCGAATCAATTCGCTCTTGATCGCATCGAAGAGAATTACGCGACGAGATGAGGCACACTTCGATAGCCAGAAGAAAGAACTATATCAAAGACTTCAAACAATGTTTTCGATTAGCGAATCACAATTCGGACACGAGAACCCGCTCAATATACTGCTTCCAGCATACGAGACAATGTGGCGTGTAGTGCTGCGAATATTTCTCGAGGTACAATTTCTTTCCGAATCACAACGGCCCTTGGAATTTGCAGAGCAACTCGAAAGCTTCTCAGCCGACCCCACAATAGAGAAGTTTGAAGAGACGACACAGACGTCAGATGGCATGCTCGTCTCTACTAAATATATCGTGGCAGAGGGGCTTCGCCTTTACCCACCGACTAGACGAATCTACAGGGAAATAAATGGCGAGGAGGTTGCGGTTGATGTTGAGTATTTTCATCGCGATACGAACGTATGGGGTGAAGATGCTTTGAGATATATGCCCGCTCGCTGGGCTTCGCTTACCACAAATGAGGTGGATATGAGAGGGTACATGCCGTTTGGTACAGGTCGCTTTGAGTGCCCAGCGAAGCCTTTGTTTGGGCCGTTCATGATTGGGATTATGGTTGGAGTCATTGTGAAAAGCTTTGGGAACCGGTTTGATCTAATACGTGGAGATAATTCTTTACGGAAGCCTCTTGAGAACGGGAAGGATGCCTACAAGGATCTTAAACTGCGAAGGAAGGGTTAAATCTCAAGTTGAGAGCGTTATTGGTAGTCTGGGGGCATGCGTTCGAGGTTGATGGCAACCTTTTACCATTGAGGTTCTACCATACTGTGGCTGGCCTTCTGGTCAGGTTTGTTTCTTTCTTTGACGTAATTTCATGACTGAGTGCTATGTCATTACTCCGGCCTCTTTTACTTTAAGAGGCAGTGTAAATCTTAATACTGCCTTGAAAAAGCTCTTAATGGGTTGCTGGAGTACTTCATTTTCCAACTATTGTGAATCTCTATTTACGTAGCATGCATATACTCAGACTCTCCCTCACATTTCGAGTGCGATCAAATATATCTAGATTAATGATAGTCTTGTTTTCTCCACCAAAATAATATATCTGGCTGGCGCAAAAGAATAACGTGAGCTCCCAACTGATCGGTTTAATTATTGTTATGCTTCGCCAGGTCTTCGTATGTTTCCATTCCATGGTCCTCTCTGGAATACATACTTAGGTGAACAAAACTAGACACGGCAATGGCTTGTAAATATTGCCCTTGATCATGGAAATTGAACCTACCGGATACTTAGTAAAGTACTTCAGGTAGAGTAGCCGGGGGACAGAGTACCCAGAGTAGTGCTTCTCCTGTCGAACCTCTTGCCTAGGCAGGCCCAGGTAATTTGCCTAGATATTTGGAAATAATCACTTTAACCATCTTGGAACAATCGATCAACTATTTTTATTTATTCTAGTTGAGTGGAATATTGATATCTAGCCTAGAGAGTTAAAATGTCAGGACCGTTTACTACCACATTTCTGGGCCACTGATAGAGTCCCCAAAATTCAATTCATTAATATTTACATACGATTTTGCTACCTCGCTTAGTTGGGAGCAGAAAGAGCTGTAATTGCAATTTTACTACAACTTGAATCTTTTGTGGCAATCTTTCTTATTCTCATCTTTCAAATAATAGATAGATAACCAATAGATTTCAGACACCAGAAAAATACAACAATCCACCCACAGAGTACCCTTACTAAACTATCGTAAGCTTTTGCAATGTTGCGTTGAACCAATCTTTTCCCAGTCCCCACTCTCGCTTCGTTCCATCAACCTTTGGCGGGGGTATCTTATTATTGTGATGGAAAGACCAGTTTATGAAAGCGAGACCTAGACGTCTGTACTGAGTGATATTTTGGGGATCGTGTTGTAGGATAAGGATATGGCTCGAATATCCAGACGCATGAAGAAAGTTGTCTTCTTCTAAACGAGTCCTGTCCAGTACTACATCCCATAACAGCCCAGTGACTGTTTGCCTTTCTTCTATGATTTTCTCGAATTCCTGTTGGTCATCTGGAAGCGCGAAACATAATGTTGCGGACCGCTTACAAGCGAGGTAATATGAGTAAAGTCGGTATTTATTCATGAATCGTCCGCCTTCTAAACATGGAACAGCTGGTCTGAGAGTTATTGTTTTATCTATCACTGTGAGACGCCTATCAATCCTTTGGCCCGATGCACCCTTCTCAACGGAGAGAGACACTATGCGAGTTGGATACCGTCTTTTCAATCGCGGATCGTTGAATCTCCACAGGAGGTCGAACTTTACGCGGGATGGGTATGAAGCCCATGACCAACTAGGGGCTCAACACTGTGTGTAAGGTCTCACTTGATGGCCCCTACCACTATACCACAAAATCATTTCTCTGATGTTTGCCATCCAGTTTCCTGCGAAACCATCTTTTAATCTATTGATCTCGAAAATCTTTACCAGTCCGTCAATAGCTACTAATTTGTCTCTTTCGTACGTTAAGCATCTCTTGGAGTATTCTTGAATAATCCTCATCCATAATTTACCTAATTCCAGCGTCTTAGCTTTCCGATGGAGATTGTCGTGAAAATCATGCATCAATGTCTTCGTTTCTTCAGATGCTATCTTCCCGCATTGACAGTCCACAACTCAGCGACACTCCCATACAAGCTCCCAGGATGTGTAATGTACTATACGTCGTGACAAAAGACGCTCCTGTAAAGTCCATCCACGAGAAGAAAGGCTCGATAGCGGATGGATATACAGATAGGCCTCATAAATTTGGCGTGGGCTGGATGAAGGCCACAATCATCATCCCACTCAGTTGACGCCGTCCCATGACTTTGAAGAGTCTCTGGTAAATCTATTTGTCTTATAAGTAAGGGCTTGCAGAAACTTGAAGCAAAACAGCCCCCGTCGCCATTCTCTGCATGATCCGCAGCAATAGTCAGATATGCACAACTATAGACAGAGAGCATTTTGGATGATTGTATTTCCCAGTCCCCTGGGTCACCTTGAATGATACACAATGAATCGATCCACAGATATGGAATTCCAAGTTTCCAAGTAATGGTAACTGCATCCTGGAAGGTCTTTGACAGCTCGTTCCAACTTATATGACTTTTTCGATCATGGAAGTTGGACTTAACGGAGGTGACTATAGGGGAGGAGCCCCAACAATGACCCAGTACGGCATATGAGCCGAATTGTCCACAACTCTCGTTAACTCGCAGACGACGAAACTGCGAGTATTCAGTCAGATATCTTGTGCCCTAAATAGTGTTTGCGTATTGGTACCTTTTTGGGTGTTGTGTCATCTAGTCCTATATCAACAACTCTTTCTGGAAGTATGCTTTGACTTGACTCAGCACAAGAATGTTCTTTTGAGCATTCTTTTATCCAGTTTGTAAGCTTTTTGAAAGTATCTTCAGATGCGGTATGTTTGTGGTATGGCTTGGAGATGGGAAAAGCAATGCAATGCTCTCGGAAGTCTAGCTTGTCAGCTAATCTGTACCGCTGTAGTTTAACTTTTTTAATCTACCTACTAGAGTCGACCGAGACCTTTCCATGGAGACTTTCACGTCCTGTTCCACCATGAACATTCAAATTACCGTCTTTGTACCAAATTTCGACCGTTCTGTTACAATATCTCGTCCTCCAGGTAAGTGGGGTATTTCTCGTAGCATCATATAAAAGTGAGCAAGTCAGACATCCTCTATTGGAACTTCTTCCTATTGCTTCAACAGAGGTGTCTATAACGCAAGCACCCAGTTCGGCAGGAGCAGCTTGAAATATAGGCGGTATAACAAGCTTTGCATCTCTGCGTGCTCTAGCTTCCTCGCAGGTGTTCGCGTTCCAGCTTATATGGAGACCCGTGCAAAGGCACAACTCCTTATCTTTACTCTGCATGACAGGCTTGTTGGGGTTCGAGAGCAATACGGCTTGTTGAGTGAGATGACGAAATATCGTGGGAAAGAATCTGAGCAGAAAGATACGCGTTTCTGATCAGGTGCTCGATCCCTGTAGTCTATTGATGTTGTACAGTATGTAAGCGCCTAGGTATGCAAGAACCCATGCTCCGGCATCCAGATTGTACAGAAACGCCAACAACTATTGTATCGCAGATCGCAAATAATGAAAGGCACGGTTCCTATATTTACTACTCTGCACCCTCATATTGTGACCTCACGCCCGAATCTCACATGACATTAAGCCCTGCCTATAGACCCGTGACCCTTATACTCACCTCTACGCCTTGTATTTACACCTTTACTGTTATGTCCTTCCTGTCAACTTGCTGTTATACAGGGAATTGCCGATGAGCTATTGCTTAGGAGGTGAGAGCGAGAGGCCGGGTAAGAGCGGGGAAGACATTTCCGTGATGCTCAACCTCGCTTAATTGGTAGGCGCCCCTATATTACCTTCGCAAAGAGGCTATAGACAACGTGTGACGTGTTCCGCTCTTGAGCTGTTCTTATAATACTAGATAAAATATCTACGTTATGATATTTGCCATTCAATTGTAACTGACTTTCTGGTGCGTTCAAGATGCCGTATCTGTACGATTAGAATCCCCTATCTCTACATATCTTGTATTATCCTGAGATGCACACTAATTTAAAGTGCAGCTAAAATTCAGGTATTTACTTCACATAATTTAACTTCAGCCTTGTCCAAGGAGACCACTAACTTGAAAACATTCTTGGACCAGGGCTTATTGTTGAGATATACACATACCGAGGTGGATGTTATCGGTCACATGACATGTCTCTATCCTATAACACCACACTACTGTACTTGAAGAATCATGTACTTATTAAGTAAATAAAGATATTACTTGTTATAAATATTTTGTAGTTATACCGACTCTCACCCAAGCTTCCAGAATATATCTCTAATACCTCTCTATCATATAGAGTAATAGATTTGAACATTTTCCTTATTGGCTACCTAAGTATTATTATTGTAGTATAGCAGAATATTCTCCGCATGTAGCTGGAAACCACTGGAGCGAATTCCATTATACAATGGACATTAATCTGAAAGTGCAACTTATGAATGCAATCTCAGTATGACTCACATAACGGTAGTTCTTGTAGGATGAAAAGCTATCAGGATCATAAGTTGAGTAGAAAAACAAGTATTGGAACTCTGGGATATATGATTTCGGCTCGCATGACTAAAAGTTAACCTTATATGCCGTGATACCAAAGTTTTTGTTGATGATATTGGGTGGGCTTTAACGTGAAGATTTCTAAATATTATTTCCCAGTTTCTGGCGCAACGAAGAACCTCATTTCCCCATGGGTTTCCTCGCTTAACAACGACAAGCGAGGGGACCCAAAGATTTTTCCTGTGTATTGCGAGCTTGGGAGAAGTGTCTATTATTGCGGTATTAAAAAATGAAAATGTGTTATTTCACATGCGCCTAAACCTACAAAGTTAGAGGCATTAATTCCATCATATAGTTCAAGAAAGAAGTTACTAATTCGTTGGCTCAGGAACAGTGATATTCAACGCCATCTAGAGTACAGTAAACCAAAAGGGGCATTCCCACATAATTCGATGATGAAATCCTTGTTGCATAACTCGGTTTTCAGGAAACTGTCGTATTTTGAACGTGCTTCAGTCGTTGATGTTCCATCCACATCTCTGAGCTCCGTACGTTTATTCTTTTTCCCTGTCTGTTCTCATGCATATCAAGTAGCATCAACATGGTTCAAAAGACCTTAAACTCCCACCTATCGTATCTAGTCCATGACGTTTCTGATACTCGCCACATCAGTATCCGAAAGATGGGAGAACCTGCGTCCCGAGGAATCATTCAGAGCTCAGCTCAATTCCTACAAAATCTACACTCAATCGCAAATTCGGAATTTCGGTAGGAAAAATCCACCGAAACGTTATTCTCAACCTGTAATATCCAAAACAAAAGTAGCGATCAGATGATTTAGATCCATGGTTCGTCAGCTGGTGAAGCAACCCAGTCCCAGAATTAAGCATCTACCTTTTCAAAAACTCAGGTGAGATGAAAGAATGTGGCTTCGCGTCCGAGTACTAAGTAAGATATCAGTAGTGTCTTGGCTGTCAGATCGAGGTTTAGATCGGATTTGACATCGGTCAACGTAGCCTCTCTAAGGCTGAATGGCACAAATCTGTTCCGGCGCGTGGCTGTCATCTACTAAATAGTCGTACTTAGCGTGTCCACAAAGCCCTCGTATAAATGTGACCAATAACAATTGTTTCTTCTACCATCAACTAAGCAGGACTAAGTGAGCCACAAGAAATCCACGATAGATTTCCACTTCACTTTAGCGTAACGTTCAAGCATTCCATTCCGTCGAATTGAAGCTCCACTACAGGTACGGACCGTCCACGTTTTCTCGTGGCTCTTTCCAAACACTTATAGCAGTAGCTTCGGCTTTCCATTCTCATTAAAGTACGCAAGCAGTTACTATCCACAATCACTCTCGCAAGCCTTCACGGCTCCCGCCAAACAACCACCACACTTCTCACAAAATGTTCTTTTTCCTCTAGCGTATTGTTCGAGCATATATTGTAATCTCGTTAAACAAACCTTCTCTCTACTGTACAAGTACTCCCAAAGAAACAATATCTGAGGGTCCACGTTTTCTCGTGGAATTTTCCAAACACTTATAGCCTTGGCACCCGACTATAGTCTACTTCAGTGCAGTCTAGTGTAAGAAGGGATCGGACACTACCAGTAAATCAGCTAAGGTACCGTAATGTCTCACTGAAAATGCATTGACGAGGCGACGAACCATACACCAGACGAGCTAACGTTGAGCCTTGCGCCAATTCTACTGCCGATACAGCCAATCAGGATTTCCTGAAAAGGCACGGTGGCTTCAGATGATGGCTGTTGTTCGAGACTCTGTTGTTCGACTTGCTCGCGGAAATATCCCGGTGGCAAGTCTTGGTCAAGGGGATCTTCCTAGTTCAACTTAGCTGAAGCTTAATCTTGTTTTTCGGGTTTATCTAACCAGCGGGACTCGCTTGCTCAACCACGGAAAGTACCCAGATCGAAGTGTTGGTTGAAGTCTAATCGTACTTATAGACACGGTTGCGTGTAAGCTAATTGTGTTGTTTTGACCGATTGACGAGAGGACTAGTGAAAGCTAAGCTGTACAACGACTTCGTCATTCAGATGACGGCTATTGTTCTCTTTCTTAGACAACTTTTGGATCGACACTTGGAATTCTACTGGTGGTTCCTGGTTCCTGGTTCCTACCCACCTCGACACTTCTTTGTGAAAGCTACGCTGGTTCGTAACTTGTTTGTTTACTGGTTCCCGCTGCTATATGACGGGTGGGGCTTGATTGTTATGCTTACCAGTATTTGACGAGGAGACGAATGGTAGGAGTGTTTTTGGGATGATGTTCTGAGTAATAAATTCCTTGCGTCTAGCATCCCCTGCACAGAACCACATTCATCCACCTCGCGTATTCATAGTCTTATTTCTCGCTTCCATCTAATGCGCACACAGACGCTGAACCATATGTTGTTTGATATCATACTGAATGTTTTAAATGGATCCCATGGAATTTCAAAGAACCCCATAGAACAAGTCATCTCAAAGCCCATCTACCGTTTGTCTCCTTATCAAATACTGGTAAGCATTGTAGCTCGGGTACAAGAAGCTCTCAACTTCATATCTACTGGTACAGGAGAGGAGGCGGCAAAACGAGCGTAACTTTCACAAAGACGTGGATGTTAGACCTTCCGTAACGACCAGTAAATAACAAAGCGTAGGTCCCAAAGAACGTACCAAGAAGAAGGGTAATTGACGTATGCCATCCAAAAGGCCATCAACTTTACTGTACTACCGTACGTATATTCGTCTCCTCGTTAAATACTGGTAAGTATTGTGGTATGAGTGTAAGGAAGCTCTACAGTAAACGTCACACCTACTGTAAGGAAACGGACAAACAAGCGTGACTTCTACCAAAACGTGTCCTGCATTCTAGAATTTCCGTAAGCACCAGTAAAATACAAAGCGTGCGTTCCAGAAAACGTGTGGATGAAGTTTGCATGCGCTATTCTTACAGTACAGCAGCCCTGCAGAATGAAAAGAATAAACAAGTACTATATCCCTAAACCACTCGCTTCACCCTTGAGCTGGCAACTCTATGACAAGGAACAAGTTCATGGTAGGTCTTTGCTCGTAAAACACAGCAAATCCATCTTCCATAGAGAAATCGATACTTCGTACAATACAATGCTAGTGATTGTTTTAGTTTTCCCTCTCGGTAACGCGGCCCCAACACCTCGCACAGTCCCAAATTCCCACGTGCTAAAAGTACCAGTAATTGCTTAAGTACTACTAGTATAATACAGTAACAACATCAGTCTCCAAGTCTGACAGACAAACTCTCTTTCCTTCTCCTTACACCCTACCACAGGCCCCACCACACACTAGCTCAAAGCAAGCCAGCCATACGAACCTTCCACCTCGGTTACACTAGCTGCTGATCTTCAAAGCTTCAAAATACGAGGCATTACTTCTAATTCGTCAAATCTTATATGCTTCCCTATAACCTTAAACCACATGGCTTGATTGTGTCAAAACAAATGGTGGGGCGTTCACCCTCACCGCACCTTACCATCTATATTACTGACCTAGGCGCTGTGTTTGCGGAAAAGGTCTAATTAGACTAATCTTCAGAAACCTAGCTCGGATATATAAAAGGTTAATTTACTTATAATACAACGTTTTAATTGGAAGTTATTACTAAACAGCGGGTCTACGAAGGCTGAGAGTGTTAGTGAAACTGTCCCGCTCTTCATCTGAAAATACACCTTTTCCGGAAACACAGCGCCTGGGTCTGTACCACGTGGCATCTACCACCACTTTAAAACCCATCCCTAAGTTTAAAAATCTTCCACCTCGCTTACAATACCATACACCAGACCCATGAGTATAGTCTGATTACTATACCCATCAACTCGCCACAATCTCTATGCAAGCCTCCTCCTCTTATCCTGTCGCTTCCTCACTCCCACAACAGGATCCTAGAATATTTTGCCAAGAACATCCAACCATACCACAAAGCTCAAGAGTGTCAAAACAACGGGCGTTCATCCTCACCGCACCACACCATCTATATCACCACCCACCAAAAAAAAACCCTCACAAACCTTCTCACGACCCTCGCTTACACCCCAAGCCCGCCCTCTGCCTCAAACGATATGAATCATCTACTATACCCCGGATTCGCCACATGGTCTATGCTTCTCCATTTCCCTTCTTACGCTTCCGCGGATTGTGTTGCAGGAACCTTCACGTCCATCCATGATTTCAAGCGAAGGCGTCAAAACAAACCCCGGGATCGTGGAAAACTAAGCTCCGAGGGGGGGGGAGGGAGGCTGTACACTTGCATCACTCCATCACCTCTAGAGAAATCTTGCTGACGAATTTGAGGAATAGCTTGGAGGATCTAGAGGTGAGCTTCGTACGAAAGAGGAGATCTTATCTATGCGGACTATGAACCCGGTAGGTAATAAGCGCCATTCAAGGAGGTCTAACCTCTCGAGGTATTTGTACTAACAAACGTCAGTTCATTACTTATCCATCCCACTTCTTAGTCCTCGTCTAAGCCTAGTTTAGTTCAGGTAATACAAGCCTTCATGTTCGAGATGGACTCCTCGAATTGGTATTTGCATTAGAAGTCATCTGGTCCTTACAATCTCTTTATTCCGTTATTAAATTCTTGTATTCGATATAGTACTAATTTGTCACTAGAAGACGCCAGCTAAACCTATGAATAAGGTATAAGCTTAAAACTAATTATCTACATGCCAAGAAACTCACTCGATTACTATGATCAAAAACCTGTTTGTAAAACTCCCCTATTTAGCTTCGTAAACGTATAACACGTCATCTAATCACCACCTACCACTCGCAAGACAATTTTTCATCCCACAAGAACCTACTTTTAGATATAGACATCCTGCCCTAACCTAGCTGTGCACAGAATGCCATCCACCTCGTCCTCTCCAACAACATAATACCAGACCTCCAATTCGCCACATTGAACATACATAATACATCCCATCGCATTCCACATTCGCCTCCTCCTTAGACTCTTCTGCTTTGCGAGAACCTCCAAGAACCTTCCCTCAAATACTGTACTATCCTGTACCTACTCCACGCCATCGCGTCAAACCAAATCTCAATCAAGGCCAGGAAAGGGGCCGTTCATCTTCACCACTCACCACTCACCTCATATGACTAGGTTGAAGTGCTCGAGTGAATTATCGCGTTTACACTCCACGACATCCATGTCCCAAAACACCCACTCACCTCTCATAACGCCCCATTTCGCCACATTGTATATGCTCTTCCTCTCCTCTTCTCTGCTCTGCTCTAGCTTCTAGTTTCTAGCTTCTACTGTACTCCACCTCCTAACCCCTCTCCCTCCAACCCCCCGCATCTCGCTTCCACATCCCCACCCATCCCATCCCATCCCATCCCATCCNCACTCCACGACATCCATGTCCCAAAACACCCACTCACCTCTCATAACGCCCCATTTCGCCACATTGTATATGCTCTTCCTCTCCTCTTCTCTGCTCTGCTCTAGCTTCTAGTTTCTAGCTTCTACTGTACTCCACCTCCTAACCCCTCTCCCTCCAACCCCCCGCATCTCGCTTCCACATCCCCACCCATCCCATCCCATCCCATCCCATCCACCACCCAACCTCTCACACCTACCCAACACAACCCAACCCAACCCAACCCCATCCAAAACATCACACCACGCCACAGCCCGCAGAACAAGAAGTCTCAGCTTCCTTATTCAAGGGGTCTTTAGGTGCCTTGGATAGTACAGTACAAGTATAAAGTTCCATACGATACCCAGTAATCTTACCGTAGGAAAGCTCAAGATATCGTACGTGCCAGAGGTAGGTAGGTAGGTTTAACAAGTCTTCGTTTCACAAAATGGAATGGAATAAAATGAAATAAAAGAGATCTGGATTCGGTCTTACGTAGTATTTATTGTTATTATTAAATAGAGCGAGGATCTTTCGACGTCGGGGGATAGAGGGGGTATTGAGATGTTGAATTTTTACTCGTACTCGTAGGGCTATAGAAATGGAAATGGATGGGAGGGAAAGAGGGACGACAGTATTAGAATCAAAGGCATAGAACTTCGATGAGTACTGTACTGTACGATGAACCCATTCCGATCCCATCGAAAGACCCCCATTCGGCCCAAGAACGAGAGTGCCGTACCGTACCGTACCGTATTTCGTATATGAGTACAGTCCATACATTGGAATACATCAGACGCGAGCTAAAAATAATACCTTCCAAGAAGTACGGTATTGTATTGCAGGATCCGCTAAGAACAGACCAACAAGCCAGTCATCCTCTATAGTGTAGTAGACAGACCCCCAATTACTACACCTGTACTGTACTGTGTGATGTAATCAACTACTGTACGGTCTAGGAAACAACCCCCCTGGACCTACAGTAAGCTCAGGTTCCCCCCCAGAATAGCCGAGCGAACCAATCGCAACTCCGCACCCTTCCCCTGCCTCGCCTCGCCTCGCCTCGTCACCCATCAATGTCCAACACTAGGCCTCATGCACCCTGCTTTTCCATCTGAAACAAATTGTTCTCGAGAAGCAGGCCGGCAGGGAACATCAAGAACGAACAGAACGCACCAAAAAAAACACATCACACATGCCTCCACGGGTGTACTGTACGAAGGAAGTAGGAGGAACAAGTATTGAGATGCAGCATGTTGCGTGCAGCGTAGTACAGTGAGAAAGGCAGCAGCAACGGAATAATTCCCTACTGTAGGTGTTTTGTTAGCGCAGGCCGGATGTTTGGTGGCTTCCCGATCGGATGAATTTTGCGATGGAAAACGGATCGCGGTGCGCTGGTCTGCGCTGGTGTGGTGTCGGGAAATTCCCATTCCATCCCACATCATCGTTGCAAAGATACTGGTAGTTTAGGGAGAGGGGCGCGGCAAAGGGGGGGAATATTATTGGGGGTGGTTTGTCAAAGCCACAACACTGTCGATCTTTTCGATGGGGTATGCCTATCCCACCACACGCATTCGACAGGAGGTCATCGTCGAGGGATTGTGTGACGTGACGGATGGTTGTCATGCGGCGGAATTGTTTGGTAGAGATGGGATGGGATGGGATTGCGAAAGCTGGTTTCTTCGCGTCTTTCACGTGAGGGGGGTATACGGTTATTGTTTCCGGATACTGCATAGTGGTTTGTGAGTGTTCTGAAGAGTGGTTTGCGATTTCGGATTAGTTGTTTGTGAGAAGGATAGCCGAGGGAGGATAGGGCGGATGGGATAGATGCATTGAAACTTGGTGTTCAGGGTAAGGTTCGTTTGTTGGTTCAGACAAACAACGAAGTGAAGTTGAAATGCGATCGTTTGCGCTCGGTCTACTGTGAGAACATCGTACAGTAAGTTTCCTCGGTAAACATTTGGTACCACGATCCAGGTCTGAATCAACACCATACACGACGGATAAGGTTTCCGCCGTTGACTTTCTAGATCGTAAATGTAGGCACAGAGGTATCAGCGCCAGCCAGCCCGTCATTTGGTCTTGGGGCTTCGGATGACATTGGACGAACCTTTCCGTGGAGGCTGGGCATGGGAGAATTTTTGCAATCTGTTTTTTTGTTTGTTTGATGGTCTGACAATCGACGATTCGTAAATCTCTCCAAGTGGAAATGCTTGCTAGAAAAAGACCAGACCGGATTCATGGGCCGAAAGTCGGTTTGACACGTTGGAGATGATGGTAGTTATGCCTTGTAGGGAGTTATCTGTGTTACTTGTACGTGGATCTCCCACCGAGGAACAGGGGCTAGACGAGTCTTTAGCGACCACCTTGGTGGGTTCAGGCCTGCTACTCGTACAGTACGAAGTAAAGTCGAGAAAAAATATCATCTCCAAAAGTTCAATTCCAAGAATGTCAAGTTCAATAATCATCATCTCCATTGGAAGCATGCGGCCCCTCGTCATGCCGCTCAATGGTTTTCATTCTCGTTGTGGATGGAATGGAGGGAAAGATTGGATTGACCATGTCCACTTCCAGCACTCACCCACCATCCACCCGTCCACTATTCGCCCGAGTCCCTGGGGTTCTGAACTCGAAACCAATATACTGATATGCAGAAGGCGTTTCCCGGGACGAGCCCGCGGGTAGGCTGTCCTGGAAGACCACGTGCGATTATCTCCGTCCGACGAACCACAGTGATTCCAGCAGAACAGCGTGGGAGGGTGATGTCTGATGCTCGCTCGTTCCGGCAAGTGGGAATCGGGAATCTGATGTTCGTCCAGTTTTTCCCACTTCCAGTAAGTACCAGATAGGATCCGTTTTTAATCGTCAACCCACTTGCGGAGCGTACCGTCTGGATGAGTGGGTAGCTAGAGGGCCAAGAGGGGTAGATTGCTGTATATTTCCGCGCTGCATTGTGCCCATGGTCTGCACGCGAAATACTGTAAACAGTGGAGGCGCACTGCCATTTGCCTATTTGGTCTTCTCTAGGGATTCCCTCCTTCTTCCCAGCATGCTGGAACTGGGTCGGACCTCCATTACTGGCATCACTGGCTGTAGGCGATGGCCAGTCGCAACTGCTGGGTATAAATAATTGATGACGGATGGACCGTATGTTGACCTGGTCCATGTCGAGGATTCCAAGCGACATGTGCAGCCCTGTCAAATGGAGATGGAGATGGAGATGGAAATGGAAATGGTATCAACCTGGAAGTGCCAAGTGTCTACATCAGCATCCCATGCCATTGCCATGCCCTCCCTGCTTGATCCCAACAACCTCGGCCAGTGCAGTGCAGTGACGGGTGCTACGGCTACGGCTACGGCTATGCTCTACAGCTACTCGAGTACTCGAGTACTGCACGGTGGCGGCTACTTCCCAGTGCACTGACTACTAGTAGTAGTGGACAGCCAAAGGTCAAACAGAGTGTACGGAGAATCCATTAGGCTGCTAGTCACCAAACATCACCAGCACAGCACAGCACAGCCACAGCCACAGCAGCAGCACCCGACCAGCCAGCCAGGCCAGCAAGTGTAGTGTAGTGTAGTGTAGTGTAGTGTAGTGTAGTGTACTCGTAGTGTACTCGAATTCTCGTACCAGGTGTCAAGCTCCTACAAGCTCCGGCTGGTACAAGCTCTACAAGCTCCTACAAGTCGTGTATAGTTGCATACTGGTGATGCCTGTGGTGAGGCACCGAAAGAGAAGTGCAGGCTCTTGGCGTTTCGCACAGGCTGCACCAGCAGACTACTGAGCCTACAGCAGACACTGACAGTCAGGACAGCCTTCGAGGCCTCGAGAGCTTCAAGCGTGGCGTGCAGGATGGGATGTGCCTGGGGTGAGGGTTAGGTACAGTACCTAGGGACCCACCGCTCTTGCCTTTTGAGCATGTCCTTCACAACCTTCCAGGTTGAATGTTGAATATGGATGTCCCCCACTAGGTCCCACTTTTCCCCGCTGGCCCCGCTCCTGCACCTCTCAACCAGTCGCATCTCTTGGATTTCGTGGTCCTTCTGTGCCCACCAGCCCGTGGTTCGCTAGCATTCCCAAACTCAGCAATGCATCAACTGGACATTGATGAGTGCAACTGCAGCAAGCACCACCCCAGGCCTCAAAGCGAGCCAGCGAGCCGGCAAAACATACTAAGCTAAGACATGCTAGACATGCTAGACTCTAGACCCCCTAGACAACCTAAACAACCTAGACAACCTAGACAACCTAGACAACCTAGACAACCTAGACAACCTAGAAAAAAAGCCTCGACATGTTGATTATAAGGAACCCACCGTTTCCCGGCCTCGTGGGATTGCAAGATCAGAACAGTCCCATTTCCAGCAGAGTTTACTTGTGCAACCGAGCCCAAGAGCGAGAGCGCCTTTGACTATAAAAACCCATACTAAGCATCCCATATCGACCACGCCGAACTCATCTGTGCCTCACCACCCCATGTTAATTGTTTGGTAAGACTTGTTGACACCCACTCGGCGACGACACCTTGCCACCACGAGAATTTGCTCCTTGCCCGTCAAAACAAGAAGCAGCTTGTGGAACCTCTTGAGGAAACCCCACGACTATTCCATCTCTCCTGCTCGTCAGAAAAAAGGAACCGCCCGCCCTTGGACGGATTTCCTTTCCATTGTTATATATTTCTTCTGTGCAGCAAGTGGATCGCCCCACCGACCGAGCGGTCGGATCGATGACGGTTATAAAGAGAGCGGCAGTGTACGACCAGAGGGAGAGGAGACTCAGAATGGAGACATTATTGAGGAACACCACCTGTAGCAAAGGTCACACACATCCACCTTGGAACACCACTGGCGTCCTTCGTGTCGAAAAATGTGAATCAATATGTGGATTCTGCCAGAAGGAGACCAAGACCGCGGCGAATCTCCGAAAGGTAACGTCCACTCCATCGTGGTAAATGAGTATGAAGCGGCGGCTAATCGTACTTTGCCATTAAGCACGTCGCTATCCACATCAAAAACGAAAGACTCAACTTGACCATTGCGGAGGGTTCGAGTGGACGTGGAAGACTGTGTGTTGGAACCTTGCCCTTTACTCACAGTGCTACGGCTAATTGTCAGTAGCGAAATGCCTCAAACATTCGAACGAGAATCTTCCTCGGGATCACGACTCTCCTACTTTTCCGATGAGACAGACGCAAGTTCATCGGCGAGAAGGAATAATGGACTCGCCAGAGTACGTTCCAATCAAGGATCATCTGCAGACCCATTTTCGCCTTCAGCGGTCTTGATGTCGATGCACCAACCCCATTCACAATCTGGAATTTCCAGATCATATCCATCCTCTTCAACTTCTACACCTACTTCCCAAGGCCTCACATCTTCCAACCACCAATCGGTCTACAGCTACCCCTACTCCACCCCAACCACAACATCCATCTCCCAAAGCTCCCAACCCCCTTCCCAAGTCTACTCCGCCCTCGACGTTCACTACCCCAGCCCAGAAAAAGACCTCTTCCGCGTCCTCCGCGAGCACAACATCAGCACCAAAACAGCCTGGACCGTGATCCCCGCCTCGGAAGGAACTCGCGTCCTCGAATTATGTAAATCCCTCTCAGTAGCACAGGAGGTTCGCGGCTCGTCACTAGCGACTGCCCCCGTACCTTGTTATCACCGCGAGACGCTGTATGATGAGGAGTGGCAGGCGCACATGAGGGATGTGCATGGAGTCTTCTTCCTCTGGCCCGAGACGTGGATGAAGAGGATTGAGGTGGTGGATTTGGAAGCTTACGGAGGGGACATTGGGGGGATCAACAATCTGATGATGGAGTGAGGGGGGAGTGGAAGCTGAATTCGATTTTGTTTTCATCTCCTCACCAAACATCATGTCCTTTTTGGTGAGTTCGAGTACGTGGATTAGGACTGTCCTTGTCGAATCGTGACGGGGGAGTGTGTTGAGAATTTGGCTGGCACCGAGGAGAAACTGGCAAACAAGCAAGCAAGGGAAAAAAAAAGAAGCTTTTTCCAGCATCATATCAACAGGGTAATGTACTTGGATTCTTGTACTACGTACCTGGTTTACCGTTGATGGGGATGTCCACTTGAACTTTCAGCGGTTCCAACTTGGAATTAAGGATATCCCAGCCAAGGATCCCCAAGCCAAGGGGCATCGCGCCAAGAGAAGATCCCCAGAATCAGAACCCCTCCTCCCAGTCGGTCGCGAATTTGCGAAATTTGTTTACACAACCAATTTGAGCATTCGAAGATCCATCGCCATCTCGAGATACCCTTCCCAGTGATCCCTTCGTTGGGCACCTAGCCTTATCCGTCTTCTTGGCTTCCTGTCTGTTGTTGGGAGGAGGAGGAGAAAGGAAGTGAGGTGTTGTCCGGTTAGGGGGGACGGGGGGAGACGGTGTTGGACTCAATACCAGTACAGCCGGGGAATTTCACGACACGGATAAGGGGGATGAAGTCTCTCGACCGAGTTGAGGTTGAATAGAGGTATACCAGTGCACCATTCCACCTACCAACCCACTCCCAAAAAAGGCCGCACAAGAACAAGACCCCCATCGGAAAACAGAACACTAGCTGTCTGGGGAGGGGAAGCAGTTAGGAGAAGAGAAGAGAAGTCTGCATGCGCTACCGATTCCGTCCCAAAATGACAGTCCAGTACTGTAAAGTACTGTACAGTATAGTAGAAATTCTCGAATGATGCATTTCTAGAAAACACACACACACGTAAATGGACGCTTCTGAACCGTTTCCAAACCAAAAAAACATGGAATTCGTTCGTTCTCCGCGAGTCCCTCGGATGTTGGTATTCGTTATACAAGGATCTTGTATTTATAAGAGTTTATGTCATAGAGTACATGTTTTTTTTTGTTCACTTGTTGTTTATAGCATGTACTGTACTAGTAAATTACTTTTCTTTATTTATTTTTCTTGCTTTCTATGGGAGATTTACTTTTCTGTGTTATATTAAAGTATATTAGAGTAAAGTGAAGGAAAGGAAAGGAAATTAAACTACCTGATTAATAACCTAAGTGAGCCCTTATTGTAGAAGCGAGTTACTCACTATCTCTATCTATATCTATATCTACCTAGCACCGGAGAAAGAAAATAAAAAAAGTACTTACTATTGTACTATACCTTTTATTATTCTTATCCTACTATAACCTACTTTTCTTAATGTCCTTTTTAGATAATTTAGATGTATTTTTAGTGGCCTAGTACGGTATCCTAAAACTACTACTAAACTAGATAACTAAATCGCAAATCGCAAATCGTAAAAGTTATATATTTTGTGACAGACTTGCTTCAGGTAGAACTCAGAACAATTAACACTCTATTCTTAGGACAAAAGACGAGGAATGAAGGAGAGCTCGAGAGAGCTGGGAACTAAGTACAGGTCGTGCGCGCTAGCGCCTCGCTAAGCGAGCATGTGACATCCAGCCCTCGTGACCATAACCGTCACATATTTACTACTACTATGCTAGAGTGCCTATATCCCTATACCCCTACCCTCGCTTAAACTTTGTAGCCTTAAAATTTTCACGTGTATAGTATACTCGCTACCCTTACTATCGTACCCCCTTACTATCGTACCCCCCTATCGCCTATATTTACTATCGCGTAGGGGTTATACCCTAGTATGTTATTTAGAAGAGAGAGAGAGAGAGAGAGTAGCGGAGAGAACAAAAGCGGGGAAAGTTTTTTATATATATCGCTTATTCCTACCCCCCGGATACTACCTTCCTAAAGAGGTTAGGCTAGTACGTGTTACGCTAAAAATTGTCTACTACTCGTACTTATCTATCCTTTCTCTTTACTACTTCTACCTTCTCTTCTCTTGCTCTATAATAACTTGTAACGAATACTCAAACTGGCTAACTAAACTTGGCTGGGTGTTCGCTGGTTGGTATGCTATGATAAGAAGAAGACTATCGGGTTGTTCACTTGGAAGTGAACTCGTTACTTGTATCAAAGATGTCAAACTAATATGATAAGATTGATAACTAAGTTGAGCACGAAGCTCCTATCTAATGGCAGACGTGCCAGTCTTATATAGAACCTTCATACCCCGCGTATGGTCCGAGTATAGAGTAGTATAAGCCTTCCTTATACTTCCTTATACTCCGGTAGTATAGAGTAGTATAAGCCTCCCTTATACTTCCTCATACTCCCTAGTCACATGATCTTCTGTAAGGAAGAAATCCTTGGATCGCCTAGCTACCCTAAGCGATCCCCGTTTGCTATAAGAAATCTGAATGTGCCTGTCGAGGGTTGCGCCTCTTATTATGACAAGTATCACGTGAACACGTGATTCGTGACACTTAGCTAGATAGAGAAAATATAGTTAAAAATAGATACTTTTACTTTATTTAGAAATATACGTTTTTTCGGCCCCTTCGTCGTACTATATCGAAGGGATAGTTCTACTATAGTACTTTTTTATTTAGTATACTAGTTTAGATAAGATTCCAAGTAAAGTATTAAGGAGAAAGGTAGATATATATTCGATGGGATATCTGTCACGAATCACGTGTAGCAATGCATGTGACAAAGGAAGAGCAGGCGGCGTCCTGACAGGTTAAGCACATCCATGGACTTATAGCAAAAAGGGATCAATTAGACTAGCTAAGCGATCCAGGGATTTCTTCTGGTTAGAAAAATCACGTGATCTAGTCGCCTGTCGACTGAAGCGATCAGGGCGAGCGACTAGAGTGATCAATCAGAGAACGAAGGTTCTATATAAGACTGGCACGTCTGCCACTAGATAGGAGCTTCGTGCTCAACTTAGTTATCAATCTTATCATATTAGTTCGACATCTTTGATACAAGTAACGAGTTCACTTCCAAGTGAACAACCCGATAGTCTTCTTCTTATCATAGCATACCAACCAGCGAACACCCAGCCAAGTTTAGTTAGCCAGTTTGAGTATTCGTTACAATATCCTAGTTATATAGTAAGTATAGAATAAATGTTAGATAAGAGTACGAGTGTGATGTCAGTGCACCAGGGGCATAGACCGAGAAGCGGGGTTGATACTATGGTTACAACAGCACAGATGGATAAAGCAGTGGGCGTGTTTGTAGATTATTCTGTTTGATGTGGGATTAAATGGGTCTTAGGGGATATTGATTTCATTTCTTCGTTATTCCCTGAAGTATTTAGCGAGGGATAGGAAGAGGCTTTTCAATTGCAATGTTCATACTACTAAAGCCCCTACAGTATGACTTAAGGAGTCAAATCCACTACTCTACACTATTCACCTTGAGTGAAAAAAGTAGAACTTAGGTAGTGGAGTATTTCTTTCAAACGCTGCTGCTTACTTACTTTTACGTGTTCATTCTCCTTCCTCTTTCTCTCACTCATTCGTCATACCGAATACCATCTGGAAGTACGGGGGCTGAAAAAGGCAGATAGGGTCTGCAAATTCCGGACGTACCAACCCCCTTACCAACCCTATCTAAGGATCCGTCGCATGGACAATTGAGAACAGAAATGGGAACGAGAAGCTGTGTGGATTCTTTATAGTGGTGGTAGAGTTGAGGGGACTGTTACCCGACAATTACCCGACATCCCCACGCCCGACAATTATATAACAACAAATACCGCGTCTCCTCCCAGCAAATCACAATTACATTTACGACTTTGGCGAGAAATATATTTTCTGGTTATTAAAACCCTCTACTCCACCTAGAGTCAAGTCTTACCTATGTGCACACTACGTGTGCGCTTGGTGAAAACCCTTTACTGCAGTAAACATAGAAAAGAGGCACTGCTAATCTTGGTAAACCCTACAGTCATGAGTACCCACATTTCTTATCCTTCGTAGGAGCAACCGAGCAAGGTCAGGGATTATGAAAACAAAAGGATTTGGGCTAGTTGGAAGGTACGGAGGGGAACCAGCAGGGCACTTTGTAGTAGAAAATAAATTCTACTCCTCCTTTATTACTCCTGCGCTATATTCAAGAATAGCACCTACTAGAATGTAGGGGTAGTAGGTAGGTAGGTGACGCCTGCGGCTGGCTAGATTGCTGGCATCCGGTTGATACAAATCGTCGTCGGAAAAGTAAGGTTCATCAAAGTGCACCATCTGGGTCCCATGGCCTAGTTGGTAAAGCTACCTATGTCTCATATTTGCGAGATAAATCAACTTCCCGAACTCAAAAGAGATGTAGGGGTGCAGAGTTAGTCCGAGCCTTGGCTTGTTTCTTGCCAATTTTTGGTTTTATTTCATGGATATGTTCTTTATTTTTTGGGTCTTTTAGGTGTGGGTAATAAGATTGTATATCTGGACTTGAATCTGGCACTGGGAAGGGGGGGAGCAAGGGCAGTGAATAGAAAAGTGGGACTGGAAGATTCGATATTTTGGGGGGGTGAAGGGAAGAGTGGACGGGATGGAATATGTTGTTGTGGTAGCTTGAGCTGGCCTTGGGTTGCAATTATTTGGGAGTAGTGAGATTCAGAGAAGGAGTAGGGGGTATGGAAGAGGAAGAGAGGATTTGAATTTTGGGGTTTCAGGGGAGGGTGGTTTTTGATAGCATTTTTTTAGAAATACTTTCTTCTGTGGGTTGCGTTTATTTCTTGCTCTCTCTTGATCTGAGGTGACTTTAGGGAGAATAAATGATAGTAATCTCCATCCTGATTGTGTGATTATGTTGAGTCATGAGGGCTAAGTAGTGAGAATACGGATACAGTAAGAGTGAGAATGGAAGAGGACATGAGAAAACCTCATACGGTAAGGTAAGGACCACCAGTAAAGCCCCACCCTCATTTCTTCTCCATGCTGCACCAATTCCCGAGCATCATGATCTACTCCCTTTTCCACTCCTCAAACTCCACCGCCAAATGCTCCTTCAGCCTCGCAAATTGATTTCCAAAGTTTCTCCCACAGCGCCAACACTTCAGATCCTCCGACAAAAGCCTACTCAACGTACCCGACCTCCTCCTCTCATCCTTTTCGTCCAACGGGAATTCCTCCAAACTTACGAAAAATGCCGTATTAAAACTATTGTAGTGCTTTCTCTTATTCATCCTATCGCTAAAGCGATCCACACTCAAAACATGAATATGCAAATGATCCATCGAAGGGCTCGCATGGATACCCACCATAACATCTTTCTCCCAATCCCGCCCTTTTGGCATTTCCTCACCCTCATTCAGGTCCGTCTCCCCACTCAGGATATCCTCTACCGGTTTATCAGCTTTTGAATACTTCCCGTATAAACGCCGGAGTTCGAGCCCAACCCCATATTTGAGTTTCGCGGCTTCGGCTTTGCAAGCAGCGAGGAACTCGGCGTCGTTGAAGACCTCGAAGGGGTGGAGTTTGGGGTGAGCTGGCGAGCGCGGGAGGAGAAGCGCGTGAACGCTGGATTTGGGATACATGTCGTGGATTCTGACGAAGTTATCGTTCCATGAGATTATCCGTGTGCTGGGCCAAGCTTCTGGATTGGCGATGTAGGCTCCGAGGGCGTCGCGGCCTTTGAATGAGGGCTTTTTAGATGGCGGTGAAGCGGGTGGTGTGGATTTCCTTTTTGGGCCCATCATTTTTGTGACTGGTTGTGTGTTAGTTTGGTTGTGGGGGAGGTGAAGATGGTATCTTACATGCGTTGATTTGAGAGGAGGTGGATGAAGATGAGGTCAATTGTTTTTCTGAATTATTCATTTCTTTTGGTCTTTTGGACGAAGGAGTTTCTTGGGGGATTTCCGGGGATTTCGAGGACATGGTGAAAGAGCTTTGTTGGATTATCGCTTGTAGCTGATGGCTTATGAGAGCGGCGGAGGTGAGACGGGTGGGCAGGAACTCTTATATATGTTCAGCGCCTGAGCGAGGTAAGCATTGGCTTGTCAATAAGTGAAGAATCAGCAATTACTATCTGAGGACTATGGAAATACGATGAATGATTTCGAATTGCAGCATACATGTTTCTATATAGATACTTACTAGGTAGAGTCGTAAAATGTACCTAGGAGTACAGAATGGGTTTTTATCATCTCCAATTGGACTATTAATATACAATTACTTCTCATAATGCAGATACGATAGTTCTGGAACTCAATTCACAAAGTGTAGGTGAAGCCATTGAAAGGCATTGTATTGAAAGACTTGCAGGTTGAAACTTGACGTTGGGTCTCATCGGTCAATCCACGGATGACGATTAGCCCCACAAAAACTTCTGTTTGAGCCTCCGGGATTCACTGCAGTTGCACCCTCCAGGTACCTTCAAAATGGACAAACACGCACTCCCCATTCGCTTCGGCGACACCTACGACCACGTACACTTACACGGTGATCCATCAGATACTTTTGACAACCAGAAGAAATGGTCAAGAAAGGACAATCAAAGGGTGGAAAGCCAGGCAGGGGTGGAGGGGTGAAAAAGCCGTCCCCCGCGACGGCAACAGGCGATGATAGCTTCATCGTATTCTCGAATTCCGATAAAGATCCCAAACCGAAGAAACCTGCGAATGCTACGGCAGGACCCTCTGGACTCGATGGGCCTGCTTTGGCTGGAGAAGCTCCAAAGCGACCTGATGTGAAGAAGATAATAGGAGGGGCGTCTTGGACGGGCAAGTTACCTGTGAACATGCTATCAGAGCATTGCCAGAAGCAGAAATGGGAGAAGCCGGAATATACGATGGTATGTCGACCATCTAGTGTCTCGTCGTGCCAATACTAACAACTTTACTCCAAGTCTAAAACCCCGGAAGGCTATTCATCCATGGTCATCCTGAAAGCCAAAAACCCGAAAACACAAGAACTCGTACAGCTTGCGCCGTTCAAGTTACCCCCAAGCCACAAGCATCTTGCCGCGAAGCCTACCGCTCTCGAGGCGAGACACTTTGCTGCCACATATGGACTTTTCCGTGTTTGTAGTATGCGAAATATACATATGATGCTTCCTCCTGGCTATCGAGATTTATGGAAAGGGGAGTTCGAGGTTCTGAAAAAGGAAGACATAAAAGATGGTCGCGCCTGGCAATACGAGGCCGATCCATTTGCAGCACTTCGAGAGCGGGAGGAAGCCAAGGCTCTGATGGAAAAACGACGGATAGAACGAGACAAGGCAAAGGAGAAAGCGCAAAATAATCCTGAGGGACCTGGAGGCGTGGGACTGGCTCTCCGTAATGGAGGACCGGGAGGTGCAGGTTCTGGCTCCCATAATATTCACAGAGGTTGGACCCGTATTCCCAAAATCGAAATGGGGAAACGAGGGCGAATAAATATCGAAAACTTGATTCGGAAGCATGCAATTTGGAATCCTCATGATGTACGTATGTCTCAATTTCAGAAACATTCAATTGTCAATGAATTCACAAAACTGGAATTCCGCGAGAGTCACGTTCAAGAAGCTGTGGAAGAGTGCAAAGACCGAGAGGAGACTTTGGAATGGTTGCTTATTCACGTTCCTGAGGATGATCTTCCTCGGTGGGCATTACCTGAAGGCTACACAGCTGGTATTAGCATGGGGAGCAGTGATTTAAAAAGAGAAGGGGCAATCAAACGATTAGCAGAAGCAGGATATTCTTTGGACTTGAGCAAACAGATCTTCGATGTAAGTGGTGATGAAGCCACCGCCGCGGAATCTTTACAGAAGATTCTTCTATCCAGTGGGCAAGACTCCGAAGTTGTTGTAGATGAGTCGGATTCTTGGGCTGCAGAAGAGGCAAAAGAAAACTCTGAAGCAACCTGGGAAGAAGAACTCCTCAGCTTACAGGCGGTCAGTGGTGATCGATACTCTCGTCCATCAAAAGATGTTTGTAGGATTACAATTAAGCCCTCTAATCGGGGTCGAAACACCGAAGTCCGTCCTATTTTGCAGTTTCGAAGAACTCCCGAATACCCACAAAAGGTTCCCGTTCTATCAGTACATGCTACCCTTCCATCTTATATCCGTCTGAGTGTTATGAAGCAAGCTCTCAACCACGCTGTTGATAACCTTCTTGGAGAGCAAATGTTATATTTCTTGGTGGATTGGGTGGAACAAAATCTATACAGTATCATTGAGCGACCAGGAAGACTTCGAGACATCTCTGCTGCAGCCTCTACTACTAGTGAGGTGCGACCGGTTCAACGAAAGCGACAGAAGAATTCTCGTCATCCTCGGTTAATCAACTGGTCCCCTAATGCAAGAAGCAAGGAGGACTGGACTAGACGACAAACGGACCCTAAGTTGCAATCTCGAATTCAAGAAAGAAGATCGCTACCTGCTTGGGAGATGCGTGAGATCATAATTGATACAGTGGAGGCTCATCAGGTGACTATCATTTCGGGAGAGACGGGTTCTGGTAAATCCACTCAGTCTGCACAATTCATTCTGGATGATTTATACCAGAGAGCTTTGGGCGAATCTACAAAGATCATGTACGTCACGTCCTATTCATGTTCTTTATGGTTCTAACATCCATGTCTAGTTGCACCCAGCCCAGAAGGATTTCAGCTCTTGGATTGGCCGATCGCGTGAGCGACGAACGGTGTTCTACGGTTGGACAAGAAGTTGGATATATTATTCGGGGCGAGTCCAAGGTCACGCCAAACACCAAAATTACATTCGTAACAACCGGTGTACTTCTCAGAAGACTTCAAACTTCCGGCGGTGGCAGTGAGAATGTCGTTGCAAGTTTGGCGGATGTTAGTCACGTTATCATTGATGAAGTTCACGAACGCAGTTTAGATACAGATTTTCTTCTGGTATTGCTAAGAGACGTTTTGAGAAAGAGAAAAGATTTAAAACTAATCCTGATGAGTGCCACACTTGACGCGGGTGTTTTTGAGGATTACTTCAAAAGCAATGGAAAAGTTGGGAGGGTCGAGATTAGCGGGAGGACATATCCTGTGGAGGATTATTACCTCGATGATGTGATCAGAATGACTGGTTTCAATATTGGTCGATTTGGAAAACATAACGAAGATGCCGAAACATCAGGAATGGATCCAGACGTCGCTGCGACTATTCAAAGCATCGGTATGAGAATCAATTACGACCTCATTACACAGACGGTTAAGGAAATCGATGCGGATCTTACGCACTTGAAGCAAGACGGTGGAATCTTGATATTTATGCCTGGTTTGATGGAGATTAGTCGAACACTTGATGCTCTCAGATCAATACCAAATCTTCACGCCCTTCCATTGCACGCATCTTTGCAATCCTCTGAACAGCGACGAGTCTTTCCGCACGCACCGCATGGCAAGCGCAAAGTCATTGTTGCCACCAATGTTGCCGAAACATCTATTACCATTGATGATATTGTGGCAGTAATTGACACGGGACGCGTAAAGGAAACAAGTTACGATCCGCAGAACAACATGCGTAAACTCGAAGAAGTATGGGCTTCCCGAGCAGCATGTAAGCAGAGACGAGGAAGAGCTGGAAGAGTTCAAGCTGGTAAATGCTACAAACTCTACACAAGAAACGCCGAAATGTCGAAAATGATGGAACGACCTGAACCAGAGATTCGAAGAGTTCCATTGGAGCAGCTTTGTCTTTCTGTGCGTGCTATGGGTATCAAGGAGGTAGCCCAGTTCTTGGCAAGCGCCTTGACTCCCCCCGAAAGTCTGGCTGTTGATGGTGCTATGGATCTATTGGGTAGAATGGGTGCATTGGATGGAGATGATCTTACTGCTCTTGGTCGACATCTGTCTATGATACCCGCGGATCTTCGATGCGGAAAGCTTATGGTTTATGGAGCTATGTTTGGCTGTTTGGATGCATGTGTTACAATTGCTGCTATCCTTACTGTCAAGTCGCCATTCGTATCCCCGCAGGACAAGAGAGACGAGGCCAAATCTGCTAGAGCAAGGTTTGCTAAGAACCAAGGTGATTTGATTGGGGATCTCAAGGCATACGAGCAATGGGACGAGATGGTCAGTAATAGAAGGTATTTTTACTTCCCCCCATGTATTTCGCTTTCTACCCTAACAATTCCCCAGCATTCGGCAAGGCGAAATCCGCAACTGGTGCAGCGAAAACTTCCTCTCCTACCAAACTCTAAACGACATCTCTTCCAACCGAACTCAGTATCTAACCTCACTTCGGGAACTATCGTTCATCCCTTCCCATCATCTGCCCCCTTCTTTGAACAAAAATAACCAAAGCACAACTCTCCTCCGCTCACTTTGTGCCGGTGCCTTCAACCCCCAACTAGCACGCATTGATTTCCCTGACAAGAAATTCGCGCAATCCGTCTCAGGAGCCGTAGAATTAGACCCCGAAGCTAAGACCATAAAGTACTTTAACCAAGAGAACGGTCGTGTATTCATTCATCCCTCTTCAACAGTATTTGATGCCCAGACGTTCCCTGGACATAGTGTTTACATGAGTTACTTTAACAAGATGGCGACCAGCAAGGTCTTCATTCGCGACTTGACGCCGTTTAATGCGTACACGGCGCTTTTGTTTGGTGGACCGTTGACGTTGGATACGCTTGGTAGGGGGCTTGTGGTAGATGGGTGGCTGAGATTGCGTGGTTGGGCGAGGATTGGGGTGTTGGTTAGTAGGCTTAGAGGGATGTTGGATGATGTTTTGGCTAGGAAGATTGATGAGCCTGGCTTGGAGATGGGTGGAAATGAGGTTGTGGATGCGGTTATGAGGTTGGTTGAATTGGATGGGTTGGATCAGTGATGTATTTGTCCTTTTTTATGGGGAAGCATTGGGTAGAGTTGGGATAAATTAGATTAGGGTTAGAGAGTGTGGGTGGTTAGGTGAGCATAAACCAATAAGGAGGTATCCAATAGAATCAGTTTATTACATATATTCATTTCAACTGTGGGGTTTCCATTCTGCTAGATCTCAACCTGGAAAATTACTCGAGTTCGCTAGCCGACCAGACGAGCAATTCCTACACCACAATCCCACCACACCCCCTTCCCTTCCCTTCCCACCGCCTCTCCACTCAAACACGACATGCCAAATCCCAATGCACAAACGGACTCTCCTCAATAACACTCAACTGGATCTCCTCCACCACCTTATCGAAAAAACAAACACAACGTGAAGCCAAACTGGAACGCGAAACTCTTACACGCTCCCCCGGTCGCCTTACACATTTGCTTGCATTCCTTGAGGGTGGAGCCTCTTTGTTGCCCGACGGTTTCGGTGTAGTTTCCTGGGATGACGGTGAAGCCTGGGACGCCGCAGAGGGGGTAGCCTACTGCGTAGGCTGGGGGGTGTGTTAGGTTTTGGGGGTTTTAAGGGGGAAGGGGAAGGGAGGATGGGACGTACTTTCTCCTGGTGGAGGGGGGGTGATGTATGTTGGGGTTGGACGGGGGCTTGTTGTATGGTGGGGTATTGCGGTTGTGAGGGGGAGGTTGGAGATGAGAATTAGCGTTATTGTTTGGAAGGTGGAGAATTGCATTTCGTAGAGGGGGTGCAGGTTCTATCGTGGAAATATGTGGTGAGAGGGAAGATAGATGAGCTACCTTAGTAAACTGTGCACCGCGGAATCAGCTTGCTTTTACTTCATCAGGGGAAAGAAAGCGTTAAGCGAGACTTACACGGCTTGTTGTTTTTTCTAGAGGTGGATGTTTTTGGTGTGGGATAATGTGAAGTGGAAAGAGGAGGGTAAAGTGAGATGAGATGAAGGTCATGGAGTTTATATTGAGATATATAACTGCTGTAGTTTGCGGTTTTTGCTTGCTTTCTTGTTCTTGGAAAGGTGAGGCTTTTGTGATACTGTACACAAACTCGAATACGAGTTTTGAGGGAACGTTATTGGGCATGAGATCGTGTCTTGAGTTCGAATACAAGATTCTAACATATAGACATATGAGACACAAGCATGTAACTTTTCTTCCATTCGCTGTATAATTTATCCCATTCCTTCCCGCATTGAGCATATTGAGCTTTCCTCGGTATAGATCAATGAGACGGTGTAGAAGGATAAAAACATATTGAGAGAAAGGCAGTATGAGAACCAGAAGACTTGCCCGAGGAATACATATACCAATCACGTCGTACTACTCATGTAAGCCAGATGATTGAAGAGGACCAAGAGGCGGGGAAACGCATGGCTGAGGGTCAGATAATGGCTACAATAACCTGTCTCAGGAAGGTGGTACGATGGTTGGTTCTACAAAGTGGTTGTTGCCCTGCGAAGAGAATGAGGATGGGTCTTCGAGGTACGCAGATGATTCGTATAGTCCGTAACACGGTTGTCAGTCTAAGTGAAGCCGAAGAAGCATGATGACATAACTATTCATTCATGTTGTATCTTGCCCTGAGTGCCTTTCCAGGCTTCTTACTACCCCAGGCTCCAGCTCTAGACAGCTCATCCTACTTGCGGGGCTCTGGACGTCTTGATGAGAAAGTGAACTTTTGTGGGAAGAAACAATTCAACCGCGACTCGATTACTTAAAAAAATTATCCCATTGAAATCTGTTGGATCACCAAAGCATGGGATCGCTGTTCTGGTGTTGTACAGGAACGGTGTGGTGTTTTCTCATATACGAAGCGCCCCTCCTTGGCCCGCAATTTGGCAAGGGATCCCCGCTATCTGGTATGACTCGATTTCAAAGCCCCCCCTCCCCTCCTCCCATCCCCTCCTCCCTCCTTTTCTTCCCCAACCACGCACTCGCTCACATCCACATGTGTTTGCTGAGCTGCGTGGTTCCATGTTAGCCCATGGCAAAGGCTTAGGACAGGTTTGTGAGATCATTCTATTGCTAGTCGTAGCTAACATGAAAAACAGGTTGATGGAGCTATCGGGAGGAGAAAACAGCTGGAAGCTGGAGGGGAACATGGAGTTTTGTCGTGAGACGGTTTGAGGATTGGTATGTGTATTTTTTGGATTCAATGTTTAGGCGGACTGGTTCTGATAGCTACGCAGATTTTCCGATGCTATCAATCCGCGACCCATCGAATGTACGAGGTCGGAAACCGCGACTCAACCTCCAGTCTTAGAGCTTCCAGCTTGCCCGATTCACACGTCCTTCCACGAAATATTCACTTCTTCCTATATCGTGGAAGAAAGCCCGTGGGGAGAGATGCCCACACCTCGGTTTCAATACTTCTTGCGGGTGTACGAAACCACAATGAGATCTCGAAGTAGATATAAGGCAGATGACATATAGAAGGAATTCATCAGGCCATTTCTGGGCCGCGTACTATTGTCCGGAACGATCAACTGGGTATATTTTGCTCCGGACGAGAGGGAGGGTGGCTCCTTCTTGAGCTGCCCGATGTGGTTGGGTTTTTAAAAATAGGACCGCATGCCCTTTGGGCTAGCGTACGCTGACACACTTTGTACCACTTCCATCATGTTGAAAGCCAAGTATATTGACGTCAAAAACGCGGATTCTATCCAAAAGCTCAAGAACAAATCCGACTATTCACAATGGAACTGTGAGGGTTGGAACCCATGATGGAGGCTCGGGCCATGCCCTCGCTAAGCACTGACCAAAGTCCTCGTTAAGCACTGACCAAAGTCCCTGCTTAGCACTGGCCATTACCCCACTGTCAAACAGGTTTCTACTTTTCCACACTTTCTTGTTTTGTTCTTCTGACATCATGTATTCGTCATTCAAGTTTCTTGCAAGTTTCTTGGAATATTCAGGAAGCTCTTCCTCTCTATATATAGAGGAAGAGCTCGCATATATGTAGTCTTCACGCACTTCTTAATTGAATATTCGAAACCACACCTTTGAGCTATTCGAGGTCTGGCCTCTCACAGTAGAAGTGCGTCTTCTCTCATCCATTTTGGACCAGAGTTCCGTCAGTCAGCCAGTCAGCCAAAGCCCTCACCCACGTTGAGGCCATTCAGTCATCATCAGTCAGTCAGCAAAGCTCTCACACCTGTTAGAGCTATTCAGCCAGTTATCACCATTCATCAGTTAGTCAACCAGTCAGTCAGCCAATTAATCAGTTAGCCAATTTTAATGGATCACCACATGGATACCAACCAGCAATACACTGCTCCCGAGGAGCAATTCCAACAATACCATCCAGCCCAAGAAGAACCTGTTGGAGCAACTCACTTTAATGCTCAACAAGCACAGCATACTCAACAACCTCATGCAATACAGCAAGATCTGCCACAATGGATGGCACAGTTTGTTCAATTTATGTCTCAATTCAACAGCACCAACAATCCCTCTGCCCAAACCAGTACCCCCACGACTCCAGTAGTGCAACTCCAGCAAGAGGAAAGCAAGCCTCGTCATTCACTGTCTCACCCAGACGAGTTTACCAATAAAAACAACTCTCTTTACCCACAGTTCAAGAGTCTCTTAGAGGCCAAACTACGAATTGATGCTAGGGCAATCGGGAGTGAGGAGGAAAGAGTATGGTATGCATTTGGACGCATATCAGAGGATGTTGCTGGACGGATCCACCCTTGGATGCAATATGCCCAAAGGACGTCTGCTTTCTCTGTAGAAGGATTCTTGAAGCAAATGGACCAGGCCTTTGCTGACCCACAGAGGCAAGCTAAAGCGCTTAGCAAGCTTAACACAGAGCGTCAGGGTCCTCGCGACTTCCGTGTGTTTCTTCAGGAATTTGAACAGAATCTGCTTGAAGCGCAAGGTTGGGGCTGGGACGACAACGTCAAGAAAGGGTACCTCAAAGCAGGTCTTAGCCGGGAACTCGAAGGTCAACTGGTTAGCCAAATCGAACCGAAAACGTACGAGGAATTCACAGCCTTCAAATGTCGGAAGTGATTTGAGATAAGCCTGGGAACGTTTTGAGGATTCTATGGTTGGAGATCCATTTATTATATCAGCTTTAGTCGATGATATCGTTTTTGCAGATACTTTGATCGATACTGGATGCCTTGCCTATGGACTATGTGACCCACGCTTTGCTCGAAAACAAAACCTTACGCGTATACCAATTACACCACGCGATATTACAGGCTTTGATGGCAAAGTCTCTGCATCTATCAACGAAACGGATATAGAGAAGAGAGGGTGTTCCTTAACGTTGCGCCAATTAGCGACTACAACATATTTTGGGAATGCCATGGATTACGGCGCAGGATGCTAGAATCAATGGACCTCGTTCTGAAATGAGAATTGGAGTTACAAACACGATTGTACGCAGCAAAGAGACCTTTTTTAGGAAGCAAGAAGAATTGGAAAGGGTGGCAGAAGTGTCAGCTACGTCGTTTATGATGATGAAGAAAAGACGAAGCCAGACGGCCCAGGTCTTTGCAGCGAGCATAGCAGACATCAACAAAGCTCTGAGAGTAAAACGAAAGACAGACCCGGCAACCAGATTACCTACTCACTTCTACGACTATTTAAAAGCATTTGATCCCCAGGAAGCAGAGAAACTACCACCACTTCGAGGTCCAGGAGTTGACCACACTATTGAAATTGAGGAAGTAGACGGCAAGAAGCCACAGGTGCCATGGGGTCCACTATATAACATGTCAAGAGACGAGTTATTAGTACTTCAGAACAACCATCACCTTTTTTCGTAGATTGAATTTTTTGTTCTAAAACGCTCAATCTCTCTTACTCTCGCTTAATAAGCTAAATTCCTTCCATGGAGACTCCTCCAAGGAGACCTCCGGCCTCGCCTACGCCCCTGAGAAGGGGCCTGGGAAGGGGGGGAGGACGCCCAATCCC